CCAGGAGTTTTCGTTGCTTTCCAAGGGCCTTGCCATGTTGACCTGCAAGCTTTGTACCTTATAACGTATTACAATATTTAAAATTTAATTATAACAACAAACAAAAAATTAGGACTTACCAATATGTCCAGATTTGAACATCAAGTTGGTGGTAAACTTGTAAGCTTGCAGGTTGGCTCGCATAGCATCCTTGAAAAGCAACTTTTTTCGTTGGATGAAATCCTCCCACAAGCCAAGGGAGAGCTGGGCAGTTTCAGCGGACAAGTCGGCATAGGCGTGGGGGACGAAATTAGGTATTGTTTGCCTAATTTCATCAAGGACCTTCTCCTGCTTCTTCTCGATATCTTTAATTTGTTGCATGAAGAAGGTCTCCCCAGCTACCTTGATACTACCATCACTGGCCGATACCGTTAATACACCATCTAATCTGTCAATGGCTGCATTACTGGTACCGGTAGAGTTCTCATACATTTTAACTCTGTGATAAAAAAGACATGTTAAATTTAGATATTTTTAGTGATCGTTTCATTATTACCTAAATCTGAACAAGATCGACTCCAAAAGATAAAATCTTGTTACAGATCCCAATGATGGTGGCAAATCACTCCAGATTTTGCTGCACGACTTGCCGCTTCGAGTCAACGCCAGATGCCTCTCCCAAGCCAACGAAATCTCCTCCTGGTTCACACCCTTCAACTTCACTAATCCTGCCGCCAGGATCTTCTTCGTACTTTTGTACTTCCCGTACAAGACACTTGCTATAAACCAAAATAACGTCGTTAGTGATATGCACCATTTCCTTTACAAAAACAACATCTTACCCATTCCCCATTTTTTTTCCATGTTACGATGGCGGATGGCCAACGTAAGAGTCAGCCTTCTGTTGGCCTGAGACATCGGACGTGTAATGGTGACGAATGGTCTGAGTGAAGACCATAAACGTTCCGATGCCTCGCCGTCAGTCCTGCCGTACGATTCAATGTTTTTAGGATTAAAGCTGGACTGACAGCTAATAACATGCGCATAAGCATGAAAAACAGGGAGTGCAAGAGTGCCGTTAGCAGTCAAGTACGGGAAGTGAGTCTATCATAAGAATACATTAGCATTTATGCATCAACAATATTGAATGAGATGTTACCGTCAACGACTTCTCCAAGACACAAATGATATCATACATCAAGTTTACTGGCGTCTTAATGCTGTCCTTGTCCTCCTGAAACAGCTCGTGGAGAACAGATAGTGGATATTTGAATCTTCAAAATAAAAAAAAAATTAGGATTAGTACATAATGTTTTTGGCATGTTTATCACATACCCTTCACCACTATCCATATCCACCATCTTTAGGGTGAGGTCATGGCGCGCGCATGAAGCCGTAAAAATTCCTTTTACGGGATACAACTTTGACTTGTATGAGGCGCCATTACCTGCAGCTCTGAATGAGTTTTCGTTTAAAAGAGCCTATTGATCGTATTTTCTTGTCAGCAAGCCAAATCGTTTCTAACCTTTCATAATACTTACATCTTTTGGTGGTTTTTCCTTTTTATAGAGCTCAACAGATTCAGGCTTCACCCATGCGTTCTCCACAGTATCAATCGTAAATAATTCATCAAGAAGACTTGCTTTCGACTTACATTTCATACTAAAACATCCATCCATAGTGATGAAAATGCGATCCATAGGATGATTGGAGTCCCTCTATAAAACATGAAGAGGTTACGATCTCATTTGATTTTAATTTATTATGTAAACATACACTGGGACAAGCAGGACAGCACATTGCCAGGTCTTTCAAACCTGTTCGTTGATTGACCTCTTTATCGGCGGCCAAAAGAAGTCGGTTGTACATGTATAGTACATTTCTGCATATATTAGCTGACAAACAACTCTACTCAAACAGATTAGTAGATATATGAAGACTATCTTTACGATAATAAGTACCTGGACGGGGTTTCCCCTTAAGTTGTTGTACAACTTCGCAATACCCTCAGAAGAAGACTTCAGGGTGTTTCGAACTTCATTAAAGAAGCCCAACAAACCCAAGTGGATTGCACTTTTGGGGCTTGAGGGAGAAGAAGGAAACATACCCATCAACATTAATGCTTCTGCCAAGGGCTTACAGCTGCAGTAACAGACTGATACATCCTTGATAGCTATTTCAAAATTATATTCAGGGTTAGAGAATACTAGTATTTTGTCGAATATTTTGCTCCTTACCATGGAAAAAGTACATTCTGACGGTCTTTGTCAGAAGTACTTTTTCACTACATTGGCAATCGAATGCAACTGGCGAATCAATCTCGGTGGATGGCAAGCCACCTTGCTTGCCAACAAAGATCAAGTAGCTGGTACACAATGTTTTAAGTACATTGTACCATTGATATTTCAAATCGACCTTTCTCTTTCTTTCAACAGAAGCCTTTTGCTCCTTGATTTCCTCAGGGGTCGGTTCATTAGAGTCATTACAATCGTTAGAATCAAAGATGTCCTCTTGTTTTTTTTGACGCTTTCTTCCGGGGCCGGCTCCCTGCTTGATTTCAATAACTTCAGATATATCTGTTGTCATATGACGATCGTCAGGTGGGAGATCGTATTTAGGGCGACGAGTGTATTTGCGACGAGTAGGTTGCAACATAAGGATAGCATCTTCATCGAGTATAAGATCGGGATCTAAAAGCGCAAGTCGTTTCATTTCTTCCAAACGTTTGTGTGTACTTCTTCTTGATTTTCCCATTGTTGTTGTTTTTAAAATTAAGTAAAGGTGAGAAGGGGGTGGCTTCTTCCCGGCTGGGAGGTGCAAGTAAAGATCAATGGTCGTTCTTTAAAAAAAGTGGGTGGTGGTTAGTGTGCCTAAAATACCACTATAGTGTAGGTATTGGACTTATTGTAGTTGTCACATCTTCAAAATTAAACTCAAGTTATAGTGGTTAATGATAAATTTTAGAAAAACGATTAAATGCTTATTTAACGCATGGTATGCCCTCAGGTCTATTAAAATCATTTTAATCACAGAACTGGAGAGCCTTACGACACTTATGACACTTATGACACTCGGGGCCTAAACAATCATTTAGATTACAAAAGATTTGCAGGCAAAAGCAGTCTTAATGATTTATTTTTTGTCTGAGTGTCGTCTTCTGTGGTGTAGAATATATGTAAACTTTGTTATCCGCCTCGGGGTTAAATTAAATACTAGTCAGAATTGTTTCCAGTCAAGGCAGTGTTGTATACACAAATATCCCGAAGTGTATACAAGCACTATTCTGTGAGTTACTTTAGCGAAGAAACTCGAAATAGCTATTTTGTGTCACCTCACGTACACGCGGTTTACACGCAACATCTGCATTAACAAAGGATAAAAACAACTTATAAATAATACCACAGCTTACAATGCACGCATGGTCCACACATGCTTACTGCAATATGTTCACATTATAAATCATTCTCTCGGCCTGCTCTATTAATTGACAAGTACCGAAAGACTTTGTCAATTCCTATATAAACCATCCTCTTATTCAATAATAAAACGATATTCAATTTACCCAGTCTCACAATTACCTTTTTCTTTATCTTATAAACTGTCTATCTTGTTTGATAGAACAGGCAGTTCCATATCAGTGGATTAGGAGCACGAGTATCTTATTAAATATTTAGTGTTACGAGATACGTATTTATTAGATCATGCCACGTTTACTGTAAATGATACATGTCGTATTTCCTCCAATAAAGATCGTATAGAATGACCTTTAATATGGTTAAATTATAATATTCGAGTGGTACTCTCATATTACCAGTATAATCTTGTTACAGATTTTATATTGGGAATTATATTATTATTGGTTGTTATGACTCTCTTTAATCTGTTACTGAAATATCAGCAAATGAGAAATTTTCACTTAATAATTCGGGCCAATCAATATGATAAAATATTGATTGACTTGAGACCATACAATTCTAATTGCCATGTTTCAGAAGATAGAAACAAGCCACTACCTATTCTTTACCAGATTCAATCTCCCAGATGTTTTGATATAAAAAGCGTCCTCCCTTTTGCGATGACCTTCTCTCCATAACTCTAATAAAGGATTAACAGAGACTCATTTCTTTAATTCTTTTTTCTTCTGCTTTTTATCTGATTTTATTATCTCAAAACATCACAATACACACTTGTTTGTCAAGTGTAATTGGCTGTAGAAAAAAATAGTTAAAGTCGGCACTTTGTGCATTAGTTGTCTAATGCATAAAAAACAATTCCAAATATAGAAAGTCTTACGCAGATTTGCATGGTTGGTTGTAAAAGGTAGGTATTCATTAATTCGTACACTAATTATTTATACTAATATCTATTATATTCTTTTTGTGGATAGCTAAGCCATTGAGAGAACTTTTAATATTTAGTTCCTATTTCTTATAATTTTTGATTTGATCTGAGAAGATTCTCTTCTCAATCAATGATATCGTAACTCAGTGGTATAACATTCTGTATCCAACTATTATTCGTATATCGTATTTAGGCCAATCATGCAATCTTTAATATAGAAGTATGTACTCGTAGTAGGAGAAGTTGTATAGCAGTACACATGCGTATGCTGGTATGCAACATCAAAGGTTGTTTTGTATTTTATAATCTATTTATTTAAAGGATTTGCTTATTTATTCTTAAGTAAATCGCACGCAAATACGATATACATGTTGCGCATGAACACGGCGAGTGGCGGTGCTGGCACTGGTGTTACCAATGTAATTGCTTGTACCTTTATTGATACATTGTGGACACATAATTGAATTTTTATGTGTTTCAAAGTTTGCTAATGTTACCCGATCAGCTGGGAGGAGGACATCCATAACAGAAGCGTTCTTCTGTTTGGGAGGTGCCATTGTTGGTTTAATTATTATTATTTTTTTAGGTTGGTTTTTTCTGTTTGTTGAGGGTGAGAATGAATCTTCCAAAAGCAATTTAGAATTCCAGATGGAATGGAAACAGATTTTTGGTTAATTAAGGGCCCTCACAAGCAACAAAATTATTTTTTTAAAGAACCCGATTAAGGACTTTATTATTTTTTTTTTTTTTTTTTTTTTTTTTGTGAAAGGTTACAATTTTGCCAAATAGATGAATAAAAAATTAAATGGATATATATAGACGATTAGCAATAACATTGGATTTTCTTCAGTGCCAAAATTTTCGAAATATCCCAATAAAGGATTAAAATCCAACGACCCCAGAATCCTTCTATCAGATGAAAAATCAGCCAAATTGGGCTACTGAACTCACAAATGTTTTTGTTTTTATTGTTGTTTTTTTTTTGATAAAAGGTTTTTTTTTTTTGTGATCCTCTTCATTTTTCTTCACCAATTCCATTATCCAATTTTATCTAAAAAAAAACAAAATGACTTTCCATAACTACACCAGCATCAACTTCGTCAATGGCTACAACCCTACCACTCCTGCTGTAAGAGGAAGACCTAGAGTAAACGTACCTGCTCCTGCTCCTGCTGCTGCTCCTGCTCCTGCTCCTTCAACTGAGCATTCTACCGAGCCTTCTGTTGGTCCTTCTGTTGGTCCTTCTGTTGGTCCTTCTGTTGGTCCTTCTGTTGGTCCTTCTGCTGGTCCTTCTGCTGTACCATCTGGATCTGCAAACGAACCCTCTGCTGAAACCACTTCTTCTTTTGGACCTGTTCCTACTAATGGATCTGTTCCCACTGCCCAGTCTTCTGCAGCCGCTGGATCCGTTCCTGCAACTGGATCAATGCCATCCGCTTCTTCTGGACCTAGTTCAGCCGGTTCTTCTGAGCCTTCATCTTCTGCTCCTTCTGCTGAGAATAATCTTGTTGATGAGCCTTCTCCTCAGGTCAACACCAATCTCAATTGGGATTCTGCGAGCACACATGTTTTGATCGAGTTGTTCCCTGAGTACATTGTAAAAGTCGGTGTTACTCGTACACCTCAAGCAAAGTTAAGTCTGACCAAAGCAACAGAGGATGCTTTCAATGCCAATGGCGCCATCAACGGTAGAAGAGACATTGCAGCTATGAAGACCAGGTGGAACAGCCTTTGCAGTACATATCGAACCAGAAGAGATGCTGCCAATGCTACTGGAAGTGCTCCTCTTCCTTATTGGGAATTTCACGATTTGATGGAGCAGGTAACATCAAGAATGCCAACGATGAATCCACCTGTTTCGTACAGTTCACATTCAGGAGAAACTGTGGATAGCCGAGGTAATTTTCCTGCTGGAAGACGAGGTCGTGCCGGTGTTGATGATGATGATGATCAAGAAGAAGAAGGTAGAAGACCTACCCAACGTCCTCGTTATGTCAATGCCTCAACATGGTTCATGGCTGGTCATTTGGAGGCTTTGGAAGACCAAAACCGAGAGGAAAGAGCACGAGACCGTGAAATTGCCAACGAGCGTAGGGCTGTCGATGTGGCACATATGGACCGTGTGTATGCCCATACCATTGATAGAGATGTCTTTGACCGGGATATCTTGCGTGAGACAATGGTTTTGAGACGTCAAAATTCTGGATGGCAAAGAGATGCAAGCTTGGCCATAAACCGCATGGTGGATTTGTTTGCTTCTTCTCTCCCTCGTCCCGCTCCTTCTCCAACGCCTGCTCCTTCGCCCACTTCCGTTCCTTCTCCCACTTCCACCCCTTCTCCCACGTCTGCTTCTTCTCCCCCTCCCCCTCCTAACAATTCCCCTCCTGCCGCTGATCCTTCAGTTAATAACAATTAAGTTTTTTTTTTTATAAATTTTTTTTCTACTTATCCAGTAAAGTTTCTAACACCTTCAGTTCTATGTGTCATCAATTCATTAAATACATTTACTCTTCTAGTACTTCCATTTACATTTTGAGACGATTCATTTTCTACATTGGCAGCACCACGACCTTCCATCGGACTATCGTCTGTAAATCCAGGGTCTCGAAGATCAATGCAAAAGTTGTGTAGTATACAGCACGCCGTAATAATTTCGTTTACATCCATTTGATCGTAGACATAAATGTACTTGCTAGCGAATCTCCAACGAGCAACCAAGACACCGAATGCTTTTTCAATCGCCATTCTTGTCGCAGAATGAACGAAATTAAACGTACGTTTTCTTGAATCCGTTATGCATTGACTTTCAGGAAATGGCGTGATGAGATTAGGCCCCAAAGGGTACGCAGAGTCACCGATGATAAACGTATTGTCTGGAAAGAACGTTTCAGGATTTTCAAGAATATCGTAATATATGTCACTGGATCTGAAAGCAGCAGCATCGTGAGTTCTTCCTAAGAATAAGTATTGTGTTTAGTTTTGATTTTAAATCCGTTAATCCATAGTTACGGTACCTGAGTCGCCTACCGAGATATATGTGAATCTCAAGTTAGAGTCACAAACAGCCGTTAACTTAACAGAGTAGTCATTCTTACGATCACGAAACATAGCACCAAATTCGTCTGGGGAAGGCTTGTGGATCGTAAAGTTTTTTCCATCTACAGCACCGATAACACCGTTTAGTCGCTGTCCATTATCACTCCCAAAACCGTGAGCTACAGCTCTAGCCGCTTCAGGATCAGTAGGCCAAGCCAACAAGTGACCAAGCCTTCCCTTGATTGCCTTAAGTGTCCTTCTGGTGAAGTTATTATAACTACCATAGGAAACACCTAAAAGCATGTACGCTTGACGGTATCCGACATGGCAATTAGCCAAGCGAAATAAGGCCGTTGCGACCTGAATGTAGACAGGAATAGCATTGGGAGCAACAAAATTAAACTCTTCGTGGTTGGACAATTCATTCACCAAATTCTCAAAAGCGTCTTTGCCCATTCGGTAAGTTGCACGATAACTATTTACTTGATTTTCGTCATCGTCATTGAGGAAGGGGTGTTCCAAACTCCAGAAGTGATATCTACGAGTTTCTCTTCTACCGTCGGCGTCGATAACTGTTCTCGTTCTTTCAACATATTCACCCGAAAAAAACATTGGCAAACTGGTAATTGCAACACCGTATTGGTTGCGGTAATCGTTTGCAATAAAACTGTACTGGAGACGTTGTTGTCGGTAAAGTGCAGTATTGTCTGATTCCATAATCATTTGGATATCGTCGTCCATACTCTCAGCTTCTTCGTCGAGTCTAAATAAAACTTGTTGCAATTCAGAAATTACAGTAACAATTTGGGATGGGTTCATTTTGGTTTTTCTAAAAATAAAAAGTATGTAGGAAAAAGGGCGAAAAAAAAAGTCCGAGAAAAATAATAACAGATAGGATAGCATTTTGATTGAACTTTATTTTTTAATCGTTCAAAAAGGGTCATTAAAAAGCAACGTCATGGATTTTGGAAAAAGCTCTCTTTTGGAAGTCTGAAGTAACCTTTCACAAAAAAAAAAAAAAAAAAAAAAAAAAAAGTCCTTAATCGGGATCTTTAAAAAAATAATTTTGTTGCTTGTGAGGGCCCTAAGTGAGCACCACGTTATTTTATATAAATACTTGAAAGATATATATGGTAACGAACCAGTAAAGATAAATAGAATAAAAAGATTTGAAATAAAGATACAGAGAAAAGGAGACTAAGGCTTCGGTTTTTCTAGGGAGACAGTAAGATAATAGGCCAATTATATATAGAAGATATAATATTTGATAGGCAAGTTTATGATAAAAGTATATAGTAAAATCTGAATGTTTATTGAAATATGTTTTGTTTTAAGGTTTATATACTTTTTGAGAAATCAAAGGATCGGTAACGATACCCTTGATTTCAGATAAATGATAATAATAATAAATTTGTCAAAAGGTTTTAAATGTAAAAAAGTAAAGATTGAAGTTAGCGAAGTACAATGCTAAAAGTTAGCATGAAAAATATAAATTGTCTGAGTAAAGTTTTTAGTGTTGAAGTCAATTATTACATATTGAAAATCCGCATTGTAACACTATGTCGAGGAACTATTGTTATATAACGACCGAATATATCAAAGATTATTTAGGAGATTAAAAGATGATTTTATTATATTTTAGTGAACACTATTTTAAATATTAAACTACTTGTGTGACCGAAGCCACGACACCTAAAATTTACACTTGTTGTGTTGATACAATAAGGGGATTCAGTTCTTCCCCGCCGGATACTCATATTTTTTACACATTCGGTGAAATAATTAAGAGCCAATGAAATGCATTTGACATTTTACAAGAACTGAACCCCCGAATAAAAAAAAAATTCACACTTTTTCAAAGACATTTATTTTTGAAAATCCGAGCCAATGAAGCTGTTCCTGAGTTTGTAACTTCATTATGAGTAATAATAACATTGAGTGCATTGTAATTATGACACATCAAAAGGTTAATTGAGTATGACACATCACAGCGCAATCGCAGTTATGACACATTAAGAGTATTTTATATACACGTAAAATCAGGTATAAATAATAAGGGTCTACTGCCAATTCGCATCACGTCATATCTGTATTTACCAAATAAATGTCTACCACCAGAAACCAAGCTTCCACCAGCAAGAAAGCTTTCACCGGCAAGAAAGCTTCCACCAGCAAGAAAGCTACCAGCAGCAGCCAAGATTCCCCCAGCAACGAAGCTACCGGTAAATCCAGTGTATCATGGTACGGTGATCAGCATCTTACCAAAAACGAGTTAAACCCTGACGGATTGACATCAATTGATATCTTGATGGGATGGATCACAAGAGATGGAAACTTCAGTAAATGGAGAGGCGAAAAGAACGACGGAATGACAACCGCTGCCAACAAAACAATACTCTGTAGTAATATTTTTCTAGAATTATAAGCTTTGGGTGTCACTTTTCGTGATCAAAACGCAATTCGAGCAAAGATCGACAGAATTATTGTAGCTTATCGAAAGGCTGAAACATGGAGGAACCAAACTGGCCAAGGTATCCTTGACAGTGCTACTGATGATAATCGTGAAGAAAAGGAGATTTCTGTTTTAGGTAAACCATATAGACATGCATAAAATCCCTGAACTTATTTGAACAAAAAAAACAATTAGACACTTGCATTAAGAAGTATAAGGGGTACACTGAGATCGAGCCATTTTTCCGCGACTCGGCTAACTCTGTGATTATTCCTTTTAACGAAGATGCGGATTATGACAACGTTGAAGAAATAATGTTTGGCAACGATGACAGCGAGAGCGACGCTGAGTTTGTTCAGCACGACGAAGGACCAGTTGTTGATGTACAATCAGCTCCCACCGCCACTCCCATCACTCCCACCACTCCCATCCCTCCCACCACTCCCACCACTCCCACCACTCCCACCGCTCCCACCAATTCTACCGCTCCTACCAATCCTACCACTACCGCCGATGCCACCACTCCCACTGCCCCTACCACCGCCGCCACTCCCATCACTGCTACCATTTCAATTAATAATGATGATGATCCTTCTGTTGTCTCTCTTGTCCGATCAACATCGAGCAAAAAGAAAAGATTGGCAAGTCATGCCATTGTGGACACTGTTCTGGAGTCAAGTGAGAGACCAAATGAGTTGACAATCAAAAGAATGAGAGTTCTGGAGCGCGAGGTCAACGCTCGAATTGAGCAAGACCTGTTTGACAGGAATTGGCGTCAAGAAATGGAAGAGAAGAAGGATGATGAGCGTGTTCGTCAAGAGACAAAAGATGCTGCTGATCGAAAGCACCAAGAAAGGCAGGTGGCTATGGCCAATCTTGGGTTGCTCATAAGCAATAAGATGATTACGAAGGAAGAATACTTCGCCGAAATAGACAAGTTAAATAATCATCATTAATTTTTTTTTTTCAATAAATAATTGTTTTTTTTTCATATGTTTGTTACTATTAAAATGATGGGCGTGAATCAGCTAAGTTAAATGACATTTGATGACACATAATTAGTCGGGGCTACACAGAAGAAGGTACGAGTATAAATATTCAGCTTTTTTTTTTCGATAAATCCTATTGAATATTTCTTAAAAAAGATAAAATGCCAGCTGTTTCTGATCGTCAATTATTAATCAAAGACCTCCAAACAATGGTCGCCTTAGAAGCTGTACGTAAAAATAACAATGATGATGAAGATTGTGTCAATTTTGCGCCTGCTGCACTTGTTGCTTTATTAAGTGTTTTATCCAACCGATACTTGTCAACAAGAACCCAAGTCCCAAAGATCAATCTGTACTCCAAGATTAGTTTATTGAGAAAGCTCGACACAGGAAGAGTACGACAAGAAATCCGAATGAGCCTCAATTCATTCATCGCGTTACATGATATGATCAGAGACCACCGTGTATATCGCAGTACTGAAAAAAAAGCTCAAACGCTTCCCAAAATTCAAATGATGGCTGCATTGGAGCGTCTGGGTGTCCGCGGTAACGGTGGTTCCGTTGGAAAGATTGCAAGAAGCGTAGGAATTTCTGGTAAGTTTTACTAAAAATAAGCTATGTGACATATCTGACCAATTATTCACAACAATAGAAGGCTCAGTCATAGCTTTCACAAAGAGATTTATTATTGCTGTTATTGGTCGTCTTCAGAAGAAGTATCTTAGCTGGCCTGATGCAGCTGAACGAGTACAAATCAAGCACGAGATTGAAAAAAGTACCGCTTTACTGGGTGTGTCGGTTTTGTTGACGGTTCCTTCACTATGGCGGACATACCAGCAGCTGTGAATTAAATGGAAACATAACTGCCATTTTTTTATTTGCTCGATATCCCCAGTCAATAAGATTCTAGCAAAAAATTGCTACAAATGATCATAATATCATAAAAAAACAAAAGTGCTTCAAAAACATTTCTGGAACCGTCAATATGTAGTTTAGATGTTATAAAAACTATCTCGAAGTTAAAATTAGACTGCTATATGCCAAAAATTTGATGCAATATTGATCCGAATTTGATGGGTTACGGTATAAAAAATAATGTTTTGCGCCTGTGAAACAAATGGTAACAAACTGCCATTTTTTTATTATTTTAAAAACCAGATTTTTTTTTTTTTTTAAAAAAAAGAAGTTCTTTTTTTCGGTTCTGTGATTCTTTTATTATCATTTTGCCCCAAGAAAATATGACCTTATTCTATTCGACATGTGTTCCATAAAAAAAAAGAAAAGTAATGAAACGAATGGCAATTACAAAAACTTACAAAATGGAAAGGTTTCCTTTATTTGCTTGAATATTATCGTTGAATGCATAGTAGGGGGCAATGACGTAGAACTGGTTTCCATTGGGAGGAAACTCAATTAACCCAACTTGATGTTCAATGTCTGCCACGTTGATGACCGCGAATGTTGCTTGCGCTGATCCTGAACGAGCCTTGACAATTGGAACAGACTTGTCGTGTCGGGTCACGTCGTGGTGTTTCATGACTTCGACTAGCGCCAAAAACTGTGGTGTGGTGATCCACCTACTGTTGTTACTAATCACACCATAAAACAATATTAAAATTAAATCTCACTTCATCACCCCATATATTATTACATCACAACACGAACTAATCTCTTATGCATTATATCATATCCAACTACAAGCACTATTTTAGTGCTGTGTAACTTATCCATCAAACTAAATTCATAATTCGATTTCTCTTAACATATATAAATATGCAAACTGATAGTTAGAATAGAATCCTCTCAATCTTTTCATGTACTTTTTACTCTTAATGTAGTAAAAGTAGAATAGTTTTACAGAAAAAAATAGATAAAAAACAAAGAGAATACAATTATAAGTCTTGTCGATTTATTTGTATAAAAATTGATTAAGAGCTCACTAGACGGGCAGGTTTGCCCTGATATTTATAGAAGATTGAAGATATTGTGGCTTGTATTTTTGACAGCTCAGATCCATCGTAGTTTTATATGATGGACCATTCGTTTGGTTTATTGAACATCGTAAGATAGCTGTCCTTGATTTATTATTGTTCCTTAAATTCTCTGATCTCTCATTGGTCGGAGCCTAGAGTTGTGTTGAAATGAAGAAATTTCCTGTCAGAAACAGAACAAGAACAGAAAGAAGACTACTTGGTGACACGAGAGTCAGAATAAAAATGATAATAAAGAAGTTTATTTCAGAGAAGGGGGAGGGGTTAGGACTAAGATCCAGAATAACGTTTTTCTAATAAATAACTAGCATCTATTTATACTATTTCTTATACATGGGAAAAGCTACGATGGGTTTAAATTATAGATTAACAAGGGACTTTACGGAACAGATATCATGAGCAGATTATTTGACAAGGATGAGTAATTGAGATTCGACGAGTAATAGCAGGCTGGATTTAGTTGACATTGAATAATTAGATGGTTCGGGGAATATCTCTGATTTGACACGGGCGGGAAAACTGGATTGGGATATGAAGTAATAGATGATCGGGAAAAGGTTTACTAAGGTTGAGTCAGACAAGAGGCGGGAAATATATTGGAATACAGATTGGTGGTAGGTTTTACAAGGAATTCAGGAAGCGGGCAAGATATACAGATATGATTTTGGGTACAAGGTTTTACAGGGAGTTTCGTAGCGGACAAGGTATACTGATATTATTTTGGGTACAAGGTTTTACAGGGAGTTTGATAGCGGACAAGGTATACTGATATTAGATTCTAGGACAAGGTTTCACAAGGGTTTAAAATCAAGGCATGATCTAGGACATGATGAAATGAGTTCATGACATTTCCATAAAGCCGGGTTACTTATTCCCGATCTTTTATCCGTGAAACATCTTTCCTTTTGTAGACAGTAGCATTTATTATGTGGTTTTAGCACACTTAATAAAACTTATAAGCAGTCTCAAAGTACTTTATTGTTTTTATTTATCTATCTCTATCCTCAACTATCACAATTGCATCTCTGCACTTATGTCTGTTGAAGGTAACCCGGATGCTACTGAGCTCGAGGTGGAGCAATGAACCACGTTGATCGATACGTTAAATCGATGAATAACCATTTTGGAGAAAGCTTCTGAAAAGAGTAACACCAATGAATTGGGTACTCAAGGTTCCAAATGGGTAATAAATCGATGATAATTTAGGAAAAATGACAAGTAAGATTAACCAGATCGCAAAAATTAACTGAACTTTTATAAACATAAAATTTAGGGGTCCTTTATATACATATTGAATTCGACCTCCTTCTTAGACAGGGCTAGATGACAGGCAATTTTATGAATGACACGCCATATCTTGAAAGTAAGTAATTCAATGAGAATCATATAATAGAAGAAAGAGTGGTACACGTTTCTGTAATAGGTCTGTAGTGTCACTTAACGCGTACATTTAAAAGTCATCAAAGTACATTCAAAAATTTATCGTGTTTGTACTTTTAAACCTCGCTTGTCATTGGTCTCCGCTAATCTGATTAGTACAATATATTAATAATGTCTTTTTATAATAATTGTATAATAAATGTATACTTTTGCACTTGTATTTAGCTTGATAAATATTGTGCTAGTTTGTTAAGTCAATTGTGAGTATTTAATATGCAACATTAAAAGAAGTGTTTATAAAAGTATCGTAACGAATAAAAATATGCTGTGTAGATCAAGTATATATGAATATCTAAAGCTCGATCACAACAATATGCCAACATAAAGGAATCGTTTTGTATCAACAATTCCGACCTTCCCAAGTTCCAATTGACTTCGACTCCTGGTAATTTCTATCCTAATTCACCTCGGTATGAGAATGTAAAGATCTACTTGAGGGATTTCGAGAAAATTGTTAAGGCTTCGACGGATCATATTGATGTTGTATGGAAAAGACTCATTGAAGTCAACATCCCTCGCATTTATGATGAGTGGGTTGAAAATGAGCTTACTCATTGCAACATTTGGGCTGAGGCAAAGGCGTTGTTTGGGATGAAGTTTGGCTCTTTCCGAGGCCGTGAAAAAGCTATTTGAACAATTTAAAATTTGTTTATGACCGAACATGAATCTATCGAGGAGTACACCACAAACTTTCTCAAGAGAATTTATAAGGCTGGAAGAAAGAAGACACACCCTGGTATGGCTGAGAAGTATCACACGAGCTTGCATGCGTCGATTCAGACCAACCGTTTGACGGTGATGGAGTCTAACTCGACTTCGTTTTTATTTTAACGATAAAAAAATGTATCTGATACGTACAGTATTAGAACAGATACGGACATTGCCATACTAATACTAAAAAACTATTACCATACCTTGCAGACGACCTTATAAAAAAATGTATTGACACGAGTGTTAATTGCCTGACCAAAATAATAGCCTTTTTTGCAAATCCAACCTTTGAGATATAACTTATCCTATGATTCATAAGAGTTTTTTTTTTTTTTTTAGACAATTAAAACAAATGAAAAGAGAAGACAGGAGATATTTTTTTATTCAATCAGTGTTGGTTTCAATAGAATCTGCCCTAGTGTAATGGCGAGACAGTTTAAACTTAAGATCGTTTAAACTGTTCTCCACCATTTTGAAATTGTCCCTTGCCATAAATTTCTTATGGACAAAATCCGGCAACGGCCAGTTCTCGACTAAAATATTTTGGCTTGTGAGAACTGCTGCCCCCAGGTCTTCAAACTTCACTAATTGCTTCCAAGATATTTTTTCATACACGGTTTCGCATTGGCAATCTACATAATAGGACTAGGCAAGGATTATTTTGTATTGGTTATGATCTTACTGATTGAGTTCCTGAGGGATTCCTTCACACCAGAAACGTTTTGACTGTGCAATATTTCACTAGTGTGGGGAGTGGCTAAACATTAGTTTGGAAATTAGGTAGTAATTGCTATTTTTGCTTTTATATATAGATATCGTTACCACGGGACTTGGGATTGACGTACAATCTCACGTATTTTTTCCATCGTCCCAAGTCCATTCCACGAACGTTCTCTAGTTTATAACGGTTTAGTATTTCAATAAAGAAATTATGTAAAGCCATACCTCCATAACAAACATCGTTCCATGATTTCGTTTTCCCAAAAATCCCTACAAATTCTATGCCATGAAACCGGTACAAGGCTTTCAGAAAACCCGTTAAAGTTTCCCAAATTTCACGCCTCGTCAAACCCGTGTTAATTAGTTGTTCCATTTGGTTTATCTGTTCCAACGTTCTAACGGCTGGATTGAGTTCAAGATGCTCAGTATCTGACAGTTTCTGATACCCCTCAGAAAGAATCTTGGGGGTTAAATAAGTTGACCAAGATTCTCCACCAAGAAGCTTTTCCTTTTCTTGCTGGCAGTAGACATTGTACTTGCTGATGCCACGGGCTCTTTCAGGCAAGATGACGTCCTGATTGTGGTATCGACCGATAAGTGCCTTCACCTCTTCCAGGGTGATCGTTGGATCATCTTGTCTGCATTCCAACCATAAGTCCATATCTGCTGCTTTACGTCTATCTGCTTCTGCGCGAATGCGAGTGTAAGAGACAGTTTCAATTCTAGAGACCAGTGACATTTTTTTAATATAAAACAAAAGAAATAATTCAAAGTCTAAAGCCACTCCCGCCAATAAATAAAAAATTATTTTTGATGACGTTTGTACTTTTTTGTACTTTTACCAGTAGAATAAAAATTTGACGTCAAAATTTAGCTTTAATTTTTTAAATTAGTGGGGTGAAGTGATTTATAGTTGTCTTTAAGAATGGTGTAACCATCGTACTTTGAAAGCTCTTAATTAATATCTATGTGTGGTTAAAACGTTTTCTTACACATCCTCCCCACTAGAAGAAGTAGGACTCCTACGTTGGTAATGTTGTTGGACGGCGATTTTTCTAATATACTTGAATAAATTTTGATTTTTGAACTAATGATGATATTTTTCTGTGTAAATGTTATGATATTTGCGAGTTAAAGTTTGATTGTTTGGAGTGGAGAAATCAACAAAAGTTTTGACATATTTTCTTGTGGCTCTTTTAAGAATTTCTTGTAGTTTGACTATTTTTTCGAGTTTTAAAATAATCTCTTGTTGGTGTGAAGGTGATTTACGAATGTCTGTCTTTAAGGGGACTTCTACCAGGTCAAGAATTAACCCTAAGTTTTCATCTTTGCTTAAAGGCACATTGAGGAATCGGTCCACATCAAAAGAAAGATTTGTGGTATTTGACAAAATATTACATAGAAAAGTAATGAGATAAAAGTATATTTTTATTATGGGTAAAAATAGACTCCAAGAACTCTGCTGCTATGAAATAATTGATCCTTTTTATATTGCACAACTCTCCTGAGATTTAATGATGAGTCAACCTTTCTGGTTTTGGAATAGATCTATACTTTTTTTCCCGCCTTGGGTTAAATGGATACTACTCGTTAGAATTGTTTCCAGATAACGTTGTCCCATATCAGTGGTACGGGAGCATGAGTATGCTAATAAATCTTTAGTATTACGAGACACTTATTTATCAGATCATGCAACGGTTACTGTAAAAGATGCATACTTGTTTGTCAAGTGTAATTGGCAATAGAACATAATAGTTGATCATTTATTCATTATCTTTGTAATAAATAAATTACGATCCCAAATATAAAATGTCTTATCGATATTTGTATATTTGTTTGTAGAAGCTAGGTATCCATTAATTCATACACTATTCCTTTATACTCTTTATCAGCAGTATAATTATATCAATATATAAGTAAATGAACCATTTATATTAATAGCTGTTATATTCTTTCTCTGGGTAGCTAATCCATTGAGAGAACTATTAATATTAAGTTTCTCTTTCTTATAATTCTTGATTGATCTGAGAAGTTTCTCTTCTCGATCGGTGATATCGTAACTCAGTGGTATAGCATTCTGTATCCAACTGTCATTCGTATATCGTATTTAGGCCAATCATGCAATCTTTTACATAGAAGTATGTACTCGAAGTAGGAGAAGTTGTATAGCAGTATACAAGCGTATGCTGATATGCAACATCAAAGGTTGTTTTGATTTCATAGTTTATTTATTTAGACGATTCGCTTAATTATTCTTTAAGTGGATCGTACCCAAATACGACAGGATTGATTGTTGTCGTTGTTAATAAGTCCATCGGGATTGTCAATTGGATTGAAATAATTGGGATTGAAGGATACTTTTGGTGCTTATATATTTTTAGTCTGTTGCCATGGATATGTCTCTGTGCAATATCTCTATCTAACGATTTTAGGATATAGGTTGAATTTCTGTGACATTCTTGGATAATAAAAGGTCTCTCGAATCGATCGTCTAATTTGGCTGATAGAATATTGGCAATAATGTCTTTGTACTTTGAAACAAGATCTCCTACACAGTAATCGGGTTTGTCGGATTTGTTTCGTGATAGGATTCGTTTATTAACCATCTTTAGTTGTGATTCTTGAGCTTTGCGAATATTTTCACGAGCTATGTGTTGAATAGTGTTGATATGAGATGTGAATACTTCAAATTTACTGTTGACTTCTTCTTCGTTCCATACATCTTCCGTGTCGTTTTGTTGGTTCATAAAATTATCAAACGGAGTATGCGGAATACGGCCATATAGTGTTTGGAAGGGAGATAATTTTGTGCTGGTCCGGGTTATACACGGATATGAGAATAAAATGGAAGTCAGATATAAGTGCCAATCAGGTTTGTCTTCCGGAGATAATTTTCTTAAGCAAGATCCAAGAATCCGATTAAATCTCTCCACTAGTCCATTTCCTTGAGGATGGTACGCTGAACTATATTTATGTTTGATGCCGAATTGATCACAGAGAGTAGTAATTAATAAGTTACTAAAGGGGTTACCGTTGTCTGTGATTATTATCCTCGAAATAGAGTGTCGTGTGATAATTTAATCAACATAGAAGTTGAATACTTAAACTGAATTCGCGTGCACTAGAGCTCGAGCTTCTACCCACTTACTAAAATAATCAATAGCTACAATGTTGTATCGATGTCCACCCCGAGAGGTCTCCACATGTTTGATATCCATAGCAACTTGTTGAAAAGGGCTAATCGGAACGGGAACCACATGGGTTTTTCGAGTTCTACTTCTTTTCCTTTTTGCTGACAACGTAGACAGATTGAAATCCATTCTTTGATGTCCTTAATCATTCCATCCCAATAGTATTTTTCTGATATCTTGAGTTATGTATTTTGATAAGCATAGTGACCTCCAAGCGGGTAATTAGAGAGCTTTGGGGAGCCAAATTTCAATTCAATGTTTTCTCAAAAAAGGAAAAACCTTGGTTTTCAGCTCCGATGTAGCACAAAGCAATTGATGGGAAACAGGGAGGAAATAAATCCAAATAAATGTTACGCCTTTTTGTGTTATTTCGTTTCAGCGAATCATATTGGTTTATTTTAGTGATTTTTACGAAATTTCGTCATGATGATTTCCAATAAAGCTATTGCATTCTCTTATTTTTAAACGCTATCTTTTGTCTACTTTCAAAAATAATAAACCTATTTCATATATTTCAAATGACTAAAAAAAACGACACCTCAAAAAACTCCCCACCTAAAAAACACTACGGAGAATGGACAGACCGAAGAGTTATTGCTCTTGTCGATGCCATGATTGCATATCATCCATATGATAGAAAGAAGCTTGAAGTGTCAGAGGCAAAAAAAGCCGTCATGAGAAACGTTAACGAAATAGATAGAGATGCAGCAACAATTTATAGTTGGAATACCTTTCAATTGAAGATCAGCAATTTGATCAAAGAAGTTACCAAAAAGCAATTGTATGACACTACGTATGGCACTGGAAGTAACGATTCTGAGACTTACCTAGAGCACAGGGTAATGGAATTGAAACTGAAAGTAAGCGACCAATTTAAACTATATAACATCATATGTTACTATGTTACTTAGATGGAAGAGAGTAAGCAGTTGACAAGTAAGACGAAGGAGGCCGAAACCAATACTCTTTTAAAGAAAAAAAGAGACCAAGAAGCTTTGGTAGCAGCCTCAAAGAAGGGCAAACATGCTGTCGGTCAGCAAACCAACACGAAGCAGCTGGACGTTTTATCTCTTGAAAAAAATGAATGTGATGAGGAAGCCATTAAGGATAAACAGGCAGCTTGTGTAAATCCCGTTCCTGGGTTGAACAGAGGCATTAAACGCTCAATTGAGAACCTGGAACAGGACAGGTTACAAGAAAAAGATGCCATAAAAAAAATGGGTCTTAAAATCGATATAATTGAAGACATGATGAAGACGGTTATCAAAAAACAGGATGACAATGAGAAACTATTACACCAAGCCCTCAAAGGTCCCGTCCCTCAACATCCCTATCTTCCTCGTCCAATTGCACCTGTCCAACTTCCAAAGCAAGACGATATAAAAAAGCAACAATAAAAACTAGTTTATTATGGCCTTATTTCATCAATATATTCCTCTAATGTTGGCGGTTCTATTCCAAAATATTTACTCGTTTGATTACCTCCATTGACACAGATGTGAACATTTTTCATGAGCGTTGCAACTTCATAAAAAAGACCACATCTGCTATGGAGTATCTTCTGTTCTGGCTTGTATCTAACAAAAGAAAACAACTTTGCAACATGGCCAAACTCCCATTCTACTGCGATTCTTACTGCTTTCATTGAATCATTTACATCATTTTCTGCAGCAGTCATTTGGGTGCGTAATATTTGCAGTTAACTATGATACGTAATTGTATTTTGAAACCGACAGTAAACTATTACCTGTTCTGAATGGCTTTACCAAGCATCTATCTTCTCTATATGCAGGATCTCCGTATATTGCGTATATCCTTTCTTCAATGTGAGAAAAATCAAGGCATTGGCGAAGATCAACGATTACTTCACTTGTGTCAAACATGTTTTGGTCATGAATAGCTCCAGCAAAGGGGCCTGCTAGACTGACCGTAATACCATCAGGCGTGACAATACTTTGGTATTTTAAACCATGACAGCGCTATACGTAAGAGAACATGATTTTGGAAATTTAGAACAAGAAACACATATTAATCATGAATCACTAACCGTGTGCCCATTAAAAGTGGATCTTTGGCCACGGATGGGTCTAGCAACCGCGACTAAAGTGCCATCTATGAAACCCACAATATTATCATATAGAGATCCTATGTAAGTGATAGGTACAATTCAGCGTATTATTAATAACTATATAATATATTTAGCATCATGTTTACCTTTTGCTTGTATGACAGCTGAAAACATTTGAAGATTGAAAGGATTCAAATGTTTCTTATTAAATCTGATACCTTCGTGAAAGTTGTCATGGACTATTTCAATCATACCATTGAAAACAACATCGATTGTTGTTTGATTAATTCCAAACAACATCTCAAGATCGGGAAGGCGATTCGGATACGCTAGTCTTCGTAGCATTATTCCTAGACACAAGACTCGGTCAAACGAGAATCGATGACTTATATCATTCGTTCTGAAATAGATACGTTCAGGGAAGCACATTGTTCTTGCTATGTGTGCTAAACGCACATACAATAAAAATCATCGATAATCCAAATTTATATAAATTGTCCAAATTTGGAACTCTGACACATTGAATACAATGGAAGAGCCGATAGAAAATATTATTAGAAATCATTGAAGCAATCTGTCGGCGACAAGCGTACCCTTGAATTCATGTAGAATTCAACAGTCAAGATAAATTTATGGACTAGCAATTCTAATAACAGTCAGCTTTCAAAAGAGTATAAATCGACCCCATTATTTCATAGTTAAAACTTCAGTCAAATAAAGTAACAAGGACTTATAATCGTACCTATCGTACCATTGTTTTTTTTATATACTTTATATTTTTTTTTATCAAATCAGAAGTAATTGATTTGTAACACTATGTATTTAAGTTGAACATGCGAAAACCTAAACAGATCTATGCACATCTTGTCATTTAACATCTGGAATTCCAAACGTTGACCATTATTAAAAAAGCCTCGTACATCTGGACGTTGAAGTATATCGTCTTCTAACAAATCTTCTCCGTCATTTTCAGCAATAATAGTGCTGTTTCCGTTATCAAGAATTTCTTCGGTAATGTATTGATCAGACATAATGATGAAAAAGTTTAAGTGAAAAAAGAGAAACTAAAGTATTTCGTTATGTCATTGAAAGACGTAATGTTATTGTATTTTTTTTGGCACTAAATTTTGATGTGAGATTGATTCGAAATATGTGTAACAAGAAAATTAAAACGCAGAACTGAATTGAAACAAAAATCCCCCAAAGCTCTCTATTATGATACATCTGGAAAGCATTTTTAGCATCTCGTTGAAGAAGTACTAATTGGTGTGACTGAGTGTAATAATGTTTAAATTGTAACCTGAGATATTTTCGTTGTTGACTAGATGTATTACTGTATGTGGATATTCTAAAGTTTCATAATAATAGACCAGTTGTTGATATTTGAGGTTATCCATATTGAGATGTTTCTTGAGTTATTTGTGTAACTTGAAGTTAAAATAAGGTGGAATATTGGAAAGAAAAAGAAAAAAAAATATATACAGAATTTCGAATAAGATGTTTGTGTCGTATTTGACGCCTAATTCCACGAATACAATTACTCTTATCTTGTCACTCAATTATAATACATATAACCTATATATTATAAGTACCATATTGCGAATACATTCCTATTGGTACAACACAGTACCAGCTCCCTCATATGTCAAACTGAGATCAGATTTCATAATCGTTCCTGGATTGGTCGAGTAGCTGCCGAATCTTCTAGTTTCTCATAAATTTATTTTAGTAATCCAATCAAGGACTCTGTCGTTGAATGGATAAACTATAATGCTCTAGAAGTGCCGGATATGGGTCAACTAGCTCCTTGGATATAACAATAAGCTATGTTTCATATGTAACTGATTTCTAAATCTAATTCTACCATTTCCCAGTTTGCGGGTAAATAGTCAATTCGATCTGCGCAGGAAAAATCTTGAAGTAATAATTGAATATCAAAAGGACCTCTATTTTTATCATGACAAACTCTCCAACTTATAATAAAGGATTATAGAGTCTCATTTCTTTACTTGCTTTATTTTCCCAATTACTTTTCCCTTTTTATTTCTCAATTATCACAGTTTATATACATAAGTTTTGCTGAGATCTATATTCTCTGCATTTTTTGGTGAGGGCCGATAATCCAGTGATTTGAAATCGTTTTGAGTGAGTAAGTCCGTTAGTCAACTTTTATGACTTTCTGGGTCAGAAGATACTAGTATCCGAGACGGGAGAAGAAATCTGCATTTTCGTTTACACGACCAGGTCGGTATACAATATCAAATTCATATTAATTTAAAATAGCAACCCATCTAGCAAGAATTCCAGTATGTTCAGTTGTACTATTCAATATTCCTCGAAGACTTGAATGATCGGTTAGGATGGTAAATTTGGATCCTTAAAGATAAGGACTGTTGTATCCGAGGAGTATATACACCACAGTATTGGTATACTCCGATGATTGAAGTAATTTATCATGTTTCATATTTTGACATATGTCAGCTGCTCATCTAAAATTCACGTAGCACTAAGGGGAATTTCACTGTTATGGACTGTTACTTTTATTATCCTTGATGTACCTTGCGGGATACTGACAGCTTGGATGATTTATAATGAAATCTACCCACGATGGTAGTTTTCCCGTTTACAGTTATGGTTATGTTCAATGTGTATAAAAGAACTTTTTTTTTTATATTTAATAAAAACAAGTCATTTTGCAATCCGGTTAATAATTAGTCTTGTCGTATTTGACGCCTAAATAAATCGAATACAATTACTATTTAATCTGTCTTGAGTTATAATATACTTCATATATTATGACAGACACAGTACCAGTTCTCATAATCTTCTAACTGGAAATCATACCATACATTGGACCCCGGTTGGCTGCTTTACTGCGGTTCCTTCTAGCACCTACGATGAGTAATCAATTAATCCAATCATCGCACATATTGCTAAATGGATAAATGATTTCTCTGCTGGAAATTCCGGACATACAACCATAGGCTTACATAACTATAATTTATAAGCTATGTTTCATGTCGTTACTGATCTATATTTCAAATCCAACAATTCCCAGTCTCTGGAAATGTTTATTCGATCTACGCAGAAATTAATTGAAGTAATAATTTAATATAAAAGGACCTCCATTTTTATCATGCCAAACTCTCCAACTTATAATAAAGGATTAAAGAGTCTCATTTCTTTACTTGTTTATTTTTATCTTTTATTTCGACCCTTTTATACTCAAATTATCACAGGTATTATAGATTATTTTCTTTGTTGTATTTTTCAAGGACGCAATTTTTCAACAAACCATTTCACGGCTAGTAATTCTAACTTCGACACACCGTAATTTTCTTCCGATTGTTTTAATCCTCTACTAAGGTATAGAATCACACGCTCCTTTCCGTCTTCGTCGTATTGGCTGAGAACACCACCAATACCAGTTCGGGAAGCATCCGTCATTAGAGTAAAAGGTTTATCGAAATTAGGTCGCATAAGTATGGGAGCTTCAGTTAGAGCCTTTTTTAGTGTTTCAAAAGCTTTGGTAGCTTTTTCATTCCATACATTGGGTGATCCTTTCTTGGTTTTTGTTAAATCATGTAGAGGTCTAGCTATATTGGCAAATGCTGGGACATATCTTCGGTAGTACGAAGCCAAAGCAACAAAACTTTTGATTTCCGTTACGGTAGTAGGCTGTTTGTAATTGAGAAGTTTTTCTACTTTGGAAGGATTGGTGGATACACCTTCTTTAGACACCACGTAACCCAAGAATTCAAGAGAGTCCTTAAAAAAGTTACATTTAGATGGGTTCAACACCAGTTTCGCTCTTCGTATGCACCGGATTACTTTTTCAATATCCAGTAGATGTTGGTCATGAGATTTGAATAAATATTTTGATCATCGAGATAAGATATGACACACTGGTTAAGAAGGTCTCGAAAGGTAAGCATCATTAATCGACTAAAACTGGAAGGACTGTTGGATAATCCCATTGGCATTGAATTGTATTCATAAGTTCCGAATTTGGTGACAAATGCTGTCTTTTTTTTGCTAACAGGATCCATTGGGATTTGATGAAATGCGGTTCGCATGTCTAGTGCAGAAAACACTGTCGCAGTTCCTAATTGGTCAAGTAGATCATCAAATCTGGGTAAGGGAAATGCATCTTTCTTAGTCTTGTCGTTCAATTTCTTGTAGTTAATTACTACTCGATAACTTTTCGTGTCCTTTTTCTTCACAAGAATGATAGGGGTAGCATAAGGACTAGGCGATGGTCGTATAATACGTAACGCACAGTATTTATCCAGTTTGTGATAATTTCGTATATATGTAGGTGTTTATAGGCGGAAGTAAGAAATGAGACTCTTTGTTCCTTTATTATAAATTGGAGAGTGTGTCATGAATAAAATTAGAGGTCTTTTTATATACGAATTATAACTTCAGCTACTTTCTCTGCTCAGTTCTAATTAAGGTTTGACACGAGGTGGTGATACCTTAATTTGAAGTACAAATCAATGTCAACATAAAGTAGAGTTTATTACTTATGTAATGTATCCTCGCTTTTGTATCTTTGGAGTCTTTATATAAATATAATCATTCATAATTCCTTTACTTGAATTTAAGGGCTTTAGAGTTCTTGATCAAAGTACATATGTTATAAGATTCCACAGTTACACGACAACCTGGATTTAATGTAAGATATAATCGCAGAGTAAATGTTGTGTGTTACTGGCATTGTGCCTTTAACCACTAGGAATGATATTCACTAGAGTTCTTGTTATAACATGGTATGTGTTATAACAAAGAGGCAAGCTAAATTGTAATTATATTCGGTTTAATGGTAGGAGTAAATACGACACAGTTCTTCTTTAAGAGCAACTGATTCTTCAGGCGATATTCTATATGGTCTTCGAATTGGAATTTCATTTTATGTAATTATCTTGTGATATACTAAATCAGTTTGGCCTAACGTTTTACCGTCCCAATCAAAGATATCCTTGAAATTAGATATAAAGTTTATAAACTTTGACTTTAATTCGTCTGAAGTTTCTCCTATCTGATTTTGCTCTAACTATTCTTCCGACAAGGTGGTTTCTTCCATGGTATTGAATTGATCTGGTTCATTTCCTTGTATAGGGTTCATTTCATACGTAGATAAGACTTCAGCTTCTTCAACGGTAGCAATCATAGTTTCTTTCTCCAACACTGTAGGTTCTTTGGCCATGTTTTGTAATCGAGCGCGAAATTTATACTCATGTGGGTCCAGAATGGGTTTAGACAGAATTAAATAGGGTTCACCACGGGAAAATCCAAGTGTTTATAGGTGTGATTCGAGTGATCATTTTAACACTTATTTAAACACCTAAAGAAAGTGTTTTGCGCCAATTTTTTGAGTGATTTCCCCCGCTTAAAGAATGGTTAAAATCACTTCAATATCACTTTAATATAACTTAAAGCCACCTATATTACACACCCTAATATCACTTAAATACAACTCATTGTCACCTAAACAGCGCACACCTTAATATCACCTTAGATCCACCTTAAAATCACTTTAGATCCACTTTAATATCACTTTAGATCCACCTTTATATCACTTTAGATTTCACTTTAAGACTACCTAAAGATCACTTTAAAATGAACACTTTTACAGTTATAAAAAACTTTATTTGAAGAAAAAAACATTATTTGGAACTTGTGGGAAAGGTACTGTTGTCGATACAGCTATGCAACAGCAAGAATCGTTCACTATCATTGGAAAGTATGACATGTTAATAATACTATCAAAATGGTTATATAATAAGCCTTACATTACATTATTGGTTAGAAGCCGAGTGTCGTCTCTTACGGTTTTTGTTCATTTTGGAGGGAGCCTTGTTTGACCAGCAGCTCTTTAACATGAAGTAAATGGCCCAATTATCTTTACAACAATTGACAATGTCTGCAATGTTTAAAAGATGAGCTTCCCTGGAGGCTCTTGATATTAACTCCTTCTTGATAACACCAGATAACGTTTTCCAAGGTACATATTCATCCATGCTTGACCGCAGGACAGAATTGCAAATGGAGTTAATATCCTTACTTAACAGACAATACATACCTTCTGCTGTTTTGGGCTGGCCAAAAGAATTCAACAGAAACATTCCGCTATCGCTATTCTTTAGTGGATGACTTCCAAAATACAAAATAGAATTAAATAGAATAGAATTAACTTCGGAAATTTGATTTTCCGAGTTAATTTTACTTCTGTTCCAAAACACTGAAAATAGAATTAACTTTTTTGACCCGTACCATATATGCAAAACTCTACCTAAACAGCTACATTATCAGATGACAATGATGTTTGAATACATCCAGACACCGGTAACCAAGATAGTTTAACTATTATCAATGATGCTCCTTCCGTTCGCACTAAAACCCATCATTTTTATATGCACAGTAGCAACTCACTGTTACTTCTCCTGAAAGGGCAAAAAAGACGGTTCTCAGAAGCGTAAAAGAGCCAAATAAATAAAGTGTTTTGATAAATATTATCCATAGATCTCATATTTATTATCTGAATGTTATTAGCGTTTATCAGAAATGAATTATATAATAGAAAGATGATTTTTTGTTAATTTTTTTTAATTCGGGGGGGGGGGGTAGGGGGGTCGAATTAACTTCAAAAATTTAAGCGGTGAAATTTAAGGTTAATTCCACGTTACACAACCCAAAAAATTAAGTCTATTCTATTTAATTCTATTTTGCATTTTGGAAGTCATCCAGTATGTTAATGATATCAGTAACATGGACAGTTTCTGGCTTTTTGATCAAGTCAATCTCTTCATAATCGACTTGCATTTGATCTTGAACGCTATTTGGAAAAACGTTTTGGAGACTTGTAGTAGCTATTTTACCCAAAATGGTTTCTAATCGATCCAATCTTTCATTAAAACTTTTTATAGCTGAATTTTGGTCTGCGATGATAGTTCCTTCCAACATCTCTATTTTTTCAAGCACGGTATTTACGCATGCAGGTTGTCTAGACATATTGATGGAAAGTTTTATTTGGTATTTTATTTTTAGTAGAAGAAAGAAAACCCCCCCCCCACGTCTATTTTGGAATTTCATTGTTATTGTTATTGTTATTCTTTTGGATGGCTTATGTTTGCTCTATTTAGAAAAATATGTTACGTGAAATCATGATTTATGATGGGAAACCCTATTTTAAACCGCGAATGCCGCAATATTTGGAATCCCTCTTCTTTCAAATTTAATTATCTATTAACGAAAAATATGCGTTGCGATACTTGCCCAAACAGACCATACGTTCGTACTCGCGATATAGAATGTCATAAACGAAAGCACAAAAATATGGATTTGGAGATCGAAATGAAGGTTAATATTATCAGACGACGACTAAATATAACAAATGACAGCACTGCTGAGTCATGCGTCAATGGTTTTGTCGTATTTGGGTATGATTTATTTGAGAATAAACAAATAAATCGAATAAAATAAAAACATGGAATAAAAACATCCTTTAATATTGAGTAACAGCATACACCTGTATCCTGCTACACAACGACTCCTACTATGAGTACATATTTCTATATAAAAAGATTGCATGATTGGATTAAAATCGATATACTAATGACAGTTGGATATAGAATTCTATACCACTGAGTTACGATATCACCGATCGTGAAGAGAAGCTTCTCCGATCAAATCAAGAAATATAAGAAAGAGAAACTTAATATTAATAGTTCTCTCAATGGATTAGCTACCCATAGAGAGAATAGAACAACTATTTATATAAATGGTTCATTTACTTATATATTGATAAACACTACTTATACGACTGTAAGTGTATAAGAGAAGTAGTGCATGGAATGTTTGGATGCTTATTTTCTACAACTAAATATACAAACATCGATGAGATGTTCTATATCTAGGATCACATATTTACCCATGTCTTAGATAAAAATACTCAACCGAATGGATAAATGATCAGACATAACTACATGTTCTACCACAGCCAATTAAACACAAAAACCTTATGCATCTTTTAACTAGTCACCGTTACACAATATCTTACTGGAATTCTGTATTTTAAACAGAACAATAAGAGTGTCCCAGATCGGTTGATTCAGGGCGACGTTAATTGAAATCAATTCTAACGAGTAGAACTCATTTAATGTAAGGCGGGAAACTGAGTATAGATTTATTACAAGACCAGAAAGGTTGACTCAACACAACTACCAGGGAAGTTGTTCAATATAAAAAGGATCAATTATTTCATCGCAGCAGAGTTCTTTTAGTATATTTTTACCTGTGGTGACCTAGCAAGGCTATAGCCATATTAGAGCTAACAAAGGTTTATCCATGCTGATACCATTTGTGATATAAGCTTAACAATAAATGTCATAGTAAGAACTATAAGGATATTACATCACAAGTCTAATTTAGTACGTCTGAGAAATACTTAAAATTTAGTTTAAAGCAAAGAGAGTTAAGAAGACTTAACATTTATTAGAACAAGACTAAATTAGTGACTATGTAATAATCGTATACATTTTTGGTTAATCAATGATAACTTCAAGATAGCACTAGAGATATGAACACAGCAGACAGTCTTTTATATAAATACTCGTATATTTCATTTATTAATAAAGGACAATCTTATAAACAGTCTCAAACTACTTATATAGTCTTTTTATAATTTAAAACCTTACCTTAAAACACAACATTACCTCCAATAAAGATATACTTTTTTCTCATTACTTTTTCATTGTAATATTTTTGTCAAATACCACAGGTTTGCTCGTAGAAGAACCTGCCAATATTCCTGATCTTGAATATGGTATGACTGACGATGACAATTTTGATCCCGTTCCCGCTTCTGGTATTGCTTATATAGATATCAACGCTGCAACTGAATTAGAAAATCTATATGAAAGTGATAGTGGAAGCGACTCCGACATCATTCTCGAACGTAGTACTGTTTTAGATACAGAGAACAGTAGATACATGACCGATAGTGAAAGTGATATCGAAAGTGATGCTGATATTCAAGACTCAAATTATGCCAAAAATCAGTTAATAAAGTACTCTGAAATGGCAGTCAAAGATGATCCTGAGGAGCTATCTGCAATTCGTGATTGCAATTTGGAAACATTGGATGATAAAAAAAGTTTTGAATTTCATGCATTGATGGAAAAATTGAATTTGAAAAGATTTCAGAAAGAAGATATCATCAGATGGATCAATGAAAACTACAATGATACTCATCATAACCAGAGTAAGCCTTTTTATGCGTATTCACTACATTATTACATGATAACTAATTCTTCTGTAAATTAGACGTGGCAGAAAAATTAAAGTCCACTTATTTAAATAAAAAACAAATGAGTGAAACGGTACAGCTGAAAGATTAAGTTCACGACATGTGTGTGAATGGGTGCCAAATGTTCATCGCCGAGGATCAAGAAATGTGTTCTCACTGTGAGGAACCCAGGTTTCAACTAAACGACAACGGCGTGTTAGAAGCTCGTCAAAAACAAAAGCTACTGGACATTGACGATTTCATTGTTCATACTTTGTCTCTGATAAAAGAATGAGATCATTGTTGCATAGATCAGAGAAGGTCCAAACAAGCGACGACTTTGTAATGGAAGATTGTTTTGACGGCAAAAAGTACCAAGGGCTTTTAAAAAAAATTGCTTCCAAAACCAGTATGACATCGCCCTGGCGCTGTATATAGATGGATTTGTTCGTGGCCAAAGAGGAAAACAGAGTCTCACCATTGTCAAAGCTGTGAACATGAACTTAAGTCTCGATGAAAGGTATTTTAAAGATTAAAATAATTCCATCAAAAATACTAATTAGGGGGTGCCAAACATTAAATTTTTTCAAAAATCGCGGGAATTTTATTTCGAAGTTCCGGGAATCTTTTTAGGCTGGGAAAACTCGTCATAAGCCAAATACAGCTCTAGCTTCCCCTTTTCACTTTAAACCATTTTTTATAAATATTATCTTTTATTTTCAACTTTTAAAATGCCCAAACAATCTACTAGACAACAAACTTTGAACGAGATGAAGTCTTTGCTCAAGCACAATGTTATCATTGAAAATGAAGAAGAAGCGGAAGAGATGCACGAACTCTTGAGTGGATTAGAAACAAAACGTGTTCTCAACAGTGGACCTGGCATTCCTAAACTGGACCAGTATCGCGAGTATTTCCTCGAGTGGAATGACGAAGAGTTTGTTAAGATTTGTAGAATGAATAAGGACTCGTTCTTAAAGCTCCTTCGCTTGATTGAAGGTCACGCAGTCTTCAACAACCAGAGTTTCATTCCTCAAAGGGATGTTCACGTTCAACTTGCAGTAACCTTGCGACGATTAAGTCACGATGGAACTGGTAACAGCATTGAGCAGATTGCAACTTTGTTTGGAATCAGCAAAGGCTCTGTCACTGACTACACCAACCGCTGTTTTAAGGCAATCACCGACAACCTTAAACACTTGATGAGCTGGCCTAACAAGGAACAAAGAGAAAGAGCAGCTGAAGCCATCAAAAAGCAGCACTCTTTTCGTAATTGTATTGGATACATCGATGGCACCCATTTTCGCCTTTCTCAAAAGCATACCGACTGCCCCAAATCCTATTACAATAGAAAGGGGTTCTATCCTGTGAACTGTCAGGTTGTTTGTGATGAACGAAAGATCATTTTGGGGTTCCAATCAGGACTAGCAGGATCGATGTGTGATGCCACATGTGTCGAGCATGCTAGCTTCATGATTAATAGAGAAGCCAAGTATTTCACATGTGGCGATGCTGCAAGCCATGAGTGCCTTCTCGGTGATTCCGGATATGCTCTTCATCCATTTGTGCTTACCCCTTACAGAAGACCCCAGGTTGTAAGTTCGGTGAAGTGCGAAGACTTCAACAGGGTTCACTCTTCCGCCCGAGTTGCTGTTGAAAATACCATTGGTGTATTAAAGGGAAAATGGAGAATCTTGAAGAACATTCCGATTCAGATCAATTGTGAGGAGGATATCATGAGAATACATGAATTGGTACATGTATGCGGTCTTTTGCACAACTATTTGATCTTGGAAAATGACAATATTGACGGTGATTTTTATGAGGATGTTGACGTCGGGCAGTCGAGATTAGACGTGGTGTTGCTGGAGTCATTTGACAACGTCAACAGTGTTTCCAGCCGTATATTGAATACTTGGAGGAATTCCGTTGCTGAAGTAGTTTTAGCAGATTATGCAGTACATTTCGGATATGATAATGAATAAACCAACTGAGTTGATATAATGTGCATTTGTGTTGAAAGGATTGGATTGCGTCCTTGCTGTGAAGGTTTCTGAACAATGAATGTAAATATACTTGTAAGAGGAAAAAAAAAACTTTATTTAAAAAGAAAAAAATATTAATCTACATCTGTTGAAGGATTACCGTCGTCGTGCTCATCTTCATCATTATCAAGATTGTAAAGATACTCTGTATCATCATATACATCATCATCATCGACAGGATCCCTCAGAGATCTACGAAAATCAGCCAGATGTCTGGTAATTTCCGTAAATGACGATGTATTGAAGGCGTTCGTTGTCAGACAAGTAACAAGCAATTGGGACATACCCAAATGGAACTCCCTCTGACTATTTTCCCTCAATACTTCGTCCCTTCTCAACTGAGCCTCGCGATATTCAGAAGAAAAGTCTCTTTTGATCCTCTTGTTTCTCATGGCGTGTGTGCTAAAATCGCACTTATAAATAATAAAATAAAATAAATAAATCGTCGATCCCACATGGTCGACTCATATACCAAATACAATATCACAAAAGAAAAGAACATCAGGTATAAAAACTGAGTTACTACTTTAGAACTCAGTTTGACTTAAGATTTCTTAGAACCATCGTCCTCTCAATTCTGACAGAACAATAAGACTAGCTCATTGTTTACGAATCAATCCAATCATAAAGGCAATGACTGCTTAAATTTAAGGCACCATCGGACATGTATTATACCACCCAATGGTACCTTCACTAACTATTAGATAACCGTTTAAACTACAGATCCCAATAACTATAAATACCCTGCCTTCTACTATAATGTACAAGGTCATTCAGTTTTAAAACTAATAATAAGAATAAAAGCCTACAAGCACTATTAATCTTATTTACCTGTTTTTTTATCTATTTTTTTCTGTGTTAAACAAAGTTTCTCCACAGCGTGATCGGGATCAACACGGATGCGGTCAGCCGTTGGCATTTCAGGCTGAACGGTACCAGCGCGACTAACACCTCCACGACCACGACCACGAGCAAGACCACGAGCACGAGCACGAGCACGATCACGACCACCAGCACCAGCACCAGCACCAGCACCAGCACCAGCACCAGCACCAGCAACAGCACCAGCACCAGCACCAGCACCAGCACCAGCACCAGCACCAGCACCAGCACCAGCACCAGCACCAGCACCAGCACCAGCACCAGCACCAGCACCAGCACAAGCACCAGCACCAGCACCAGCACGAGCACCACCAGCAACACCAGCACCAACACCACCACCAGCACGAGCAGCACTACCACTGTTGACATCGTTGTCATGGTCCACAGCATGATACGACCCAGCATCATCATCAAAAGAAAAGGAATCGAACAAATTATTCTCTGATGATGATTCAAATAATGGTGTGCGACTTGATGGCTGGGTATTAGATGGAACCAACGGAGGAGAAGAAGCAACATTGGTAGCTGGTACTTCTACAGATGACGGCTGGCCAGACGAAGCTTCACCAAAAGCAGGACGAGGGAAAGAGAGAGTGTTGAGGATGTCATAGATTATAATAAAAGAATCATCACATTTTACATAATAATGGATGATCATGTATAAATATTCATGGCTCACACTTCGCCCCATTTGTTATCATCAGAACCGTTGGTGTCTGTGCACAAGGGGATTGGCCTTGTGACGAGTAAAATATTATAATACCATAAAAGTATAGTACAATCCCATAGGCGGAATATTCGGTTACTGAATATTGCACGCACTAAACTTTCTCTTTGGCATTTACGTAATGTCATCTGCGGAGATGAATTTAGATCCTCACGTACTTTTGTCTTTACTTTGTAAGGCAGGAATTACTTCATAACATATTTATTTAAACAGACATTACGTATAACATTATATCATATTCCTCTAACGCGTCACATATATTATCCGAAAGCCATCTAATCATTTAGTATAAATACCTGTAGTTTTTGCTAGTAGAATTCCCTAATCTAAAATTTTCTCGAAATAAAAGATATACAAAGTTCTAACAGTATTTTCTTTTGTTACCTTAATTTACATTTTATCTCCATCCCAAACAGAGAGGTTCGTTTGAGAATGGCCCAACAGAAGAAAAACGGAAAGAGGAAGAACGCTCAGTAGACACATGTGCAACAGACAAAGACCTAGCAGCCAAAGGAGCACCAGAGGAAAGAGAAGCACGAGCAGCCAAAGGAGCACGAGCAGCCAAAGGAGCACGAGCAGCCAAAGGAGCACCAGCAGCCAAAGAAACATCAGCAGCCAAAGGAGCACCAGCAGCCAAAGAAACATCAGCAGCCAAAGGAGCACCAGAGGAAAGAGAAGCATATGATCTTGTTGAAGATTCAGCTGCATCACTTCCAACCAACAATCGACTGACCTCTTCAATCGCCTCTTGTTGACCACCAAAAACTGCAAAAGTTTGTGCCTCAATTGCAGCTAATGATGGCCTTACTCTGTTGGAGTATGTGTACTCGGTACCACCAGGGGCACCATGGAAAGCCACACAATAAGGAGTTATGTTTGGTCTAACACCATGCAGAGAAGCCAAACGAGAAAATCCAATACACAAATGCTCACACTTGATCTCGATGGAGGTCAGTCCACGTTTAATGTCATCTGTAGTCAAGCCAAAACCGGTAGAGTTCATATCTCTTTGTACATCGCCATACTTTGCGAGTTGGCGTTCAAAACGTTTTCCAACCGATTTGAAATTCCAGGAAGACGGAATTACTTTATCTGCCAGAAGTTGCTGAAACAATCTCTCAATGATCTCTCTTTTTTTTATCTGACTACCAGCTGAAGGAGCGGACGACTTTTGTCCACCAAGATATATCTTAAAAAGGTCTTGATTACTCTCAAAGAAACCAATCATAGCCTTAATTTGACCAGGTGTAGTTTTGGTTCTATCAAGGCTTTTATCTGCGGAATCGTTGTTGGAAGGACCTCCACCAGTGTTTCTGTTTATTTGATCAGACATTTTACATTATACGTTTTAGAGAAATTTAAGGAGAAAAAAGGTAAGTTAAAAACTTAGAAAAACTTTATAATGCAAACACAGATGCGATTTGATGCTTTTAGATTATCATAAAATAAAAAAAATGTTACATTTTCACGTCATATTTCCTTCTCAACAACGAATAGAAAATGAGTATTCTTTCCCGAGATTTCTCGGGAATACTTTTTCTTGCCCGCAAAATCTCGGGCACAAAAAATCGTTCCCGCAAACTTTAGGGAATTTGGCTGGGGAAAAATTCCCGGGAATGTTTTTTAAAAATTAAGGAAATGATTTTTTTAATGTTTGGCACCCCCTATTGTCATTGTCTGTTACAGAGCAAAAAAAGAAAATCAATTTGTTTTCTGCATCATCAAAGGACCCAAAACACCAAAAGACATCTATAGCTTCTTATATCCTTTATTAATGAAGTTAATTAAAATGGAGTCGGCTGGTGTAATTGCCAAGGATCACGACAACCAAAAACATCACATCAAGGTGTATACCTGTCTGTTTCTCGGCGATATTCCTGCCATGGCGGATACTTTGTTTCACACTGGCCATACAAGCAAATATGGTTGTAGAATATGTGATATCATGGGCAGTAGTAATGATGGTAAAGGGATGTACTTTAGTCATAAAAATTTGGAAAATGCAGTAATTAGAAGCAATGAAAGTTTTAAATCAGTAGACGAGCGGGTATCTGGGGTAAATGCGACGACAATACTAGTATTCGGCCACTATGACTAATATTAAACTTTATTTGATAACATCAGTTTGAAAACAGGGCTCACGAAGGTTACTCCTTTGACCGGATTTACCTCGTTTTCGGCAACATTCGCTGGCCTTGATGAGCTTCATTTGATTGGGCATAACGTATCTAAGCAAATTTGGAAATTTATTTCTGATGACGATAGAAAATATGGTAACAATAACCCATTTCTTTTGGCAAAATGTCATAGAAAAACGCTTGGAATGGCCATGGAAAATTTAGGTACAACTTGCAGAACGAACATTTTTGAAGGGGCATTTTTAAGTATGTAATTGAATTACGCCAGTAAAACCAAAATCGCTAAAGGGAATATTGGTCACATAAATTTGAACACTCGTGGTGGATATGGACGTGCAGTTGACTGGCAAATGTTTATCTTGTTTCTGGTTCCTACCATTGTTTGTGATATGATAAATATGCAGGCTAATGATAATAAGAGGTATCCGAATATTCTTGGTAGTAGCTTGCGCAGAACTCAATCGTTGATTGGTGCCAGTTATGAGCAACATAATTTGGAGATTGAAAATCGATGCAGAGATACTGTTAGTGCTCTTAAAAATTTGTCCAGTGCTTGTGCAATTGCTTTGCAATATAAAATCAGTCAAACAGATATCAGCGAACTCAAAAGGTTAGTTACAATTAGATAAAGGTTTAAAAATACTTAAACCCAATTTTTTTAATATTTGACGGTATTCAGTAAGCTGCAGATATGGATGGATTTTGTCGGAAACACAGACAATATGACACCAAACGCAGTAACAATTAGCCAGCATTATCTATCACATATAGCATATGTGATTGAGGAGCTTGGTCCTATGCGCTCGTTCAGTTTTCGACCTTTGGAACGCATGATTGGTATAGTTAAGCAGAAGATAGGGTCATTTTCCAAACCAGCGGAGAATGCATACCAAATCGTTCGTACTTTGGCAGAGCAATCTTTTTTGTCCAGAAAAACACCAGCTTGCTCCAAAACATCGGTTACTGGAATAATTATAGGCAAAGCTAACTCGGAGCATCGGGGTATTGCTGAATTCAGGCACCTTGGTGCCAACTTCCTTGAACAAGTTGAACTACAAGTTCAATGCGAGGAAATTCGAGTTGTTCAAAGTATCACAATGACGGGAAGAGGGTGCAAGCAGTTTTGTGCATCAACAGTAAAAAAAAAAAATCCAGCATGTTCCTCGCACGCTTACCCATTAGTAATTTCGGTGGAACTGAGAAGAAGTACTATGTCGTTCAGCTGGAGTTCATGTTTGTAGCAAAGCCGTTACCAGCTGCGAACATGTTGAACAATGATGTTTTTGCTTGGGCTAGAATATGTTCCAATATTGAGTCAACTGTTGACGGGAATACTGTTTTATTTTATACTACTAGTTCCAAAAGCATGCCACTTGCTGCAGAAAGGGATCATATGAGAGTTCTGATTAGCACCAATAATATCATCAGTCCCATAACAACAATATGTTCACCAATAGAAGAAAATAAGCACTACCTTGTTTGGCCATCTATGTCATTTAAAAAAGATGTGTGTATAAGCAATACGCCGTTTTGGTTTTAAAAACAAAACGTAACACACATATATCAGACTTACTAAATAATAATAAAAAAATATTGCAAATATTAACACTTGTTGGAACACCCCTGAACACCTCAAACGCAAGTGATGAAAACAAGCTCTTATTTTAACACTCATTTGTCACCTTATACAAAAGTGACCAAATTCACCACCTATTTAATTACCTTTTAACACCTTTCTCTCAAGTGATGACAATTAACACTTATTTTAACTCTTATTAGTCACCTTTACCAAAAGTGACGAAATTTAACACTTATTTTAACACTTATTTGTCACCTTTATTTAAAGTGATGGCGCAAAACACCCGAATAAACACTCAAAGTCACTCAAAGTCACTTATTTATTAATTTCATCACTTATTTTTTCCCGTGGTGGTTCATAAGAAGGATTTATTTCAACATATTGTAAGTTGTTTTTCTGGGGTAAATTTAAATTTAAGGGGACTGAGGATTTAGCTGGGATAATGAGTTTTCCCTCCTTCTTGATTCGTACTTGATTATCCTGGTAATGAACTTGGCTGTCATCCTTTTTTGTCATACAGTGGAAATCATTGGTTATACTTATAAATTCAGCATCATCGTCGGATTCACTTTCCTCTTCTGATTCATCTTCATTTTCTTCGTCTGATTCAGATTCTTCATATTCTGGTAAGAAAAAATCCAGAGCCCAATTTTTCTTATTCATCATATTGATTACAGGTTCTTGTGTTTCCTTGTTAAAAAACATATTGATCTTGGTTTGTTGATTTTTATAGGTTACAGTCCAGTGCAAGAAACAGGGCTTTTATCTTAAGAATAATCACAGTAAATACCATGAAAGACAAGTCGTTTTCCCAAAGAAAACCAAAAGATACTCTACTTTTTTCATGTAATTTTAAAGTTGTCTTCTCAAATTTTTGGGATATGTTCATGGAAAAGACAACTTTAAACAAAGATATATGACGATATACTAAGGCCATTTGATTGGACATGAAACCCATTTATTGAGTTTATTGTTAGTCTTACATCAGTAGTCTATGACGCATTGGGAATAAGGTTTGCTGCTTATAAAATAATGATTAGATAACTTCGAGATAAAAATAGATAGATGATGAATAGGATAACAAAAAAAAAAGGGATCAAATATCAGTTCGCTGAAAATTCAATGTGTGGACAGTGGGTAAATTAGGTATGTATAAATAAACGATTTATTATAAAAAAATGTAATATTAAAGCCATAGAATAAATGATTGCATCTATAAATGTAATCCTCGATTAAAGAACAGTTTGTGTCAAGCAATTTATATTGCAAAAGAATCTTATCTTTATTTTTATAATTATTTTACGCAAACTCCCCCTCCCCACCATCCCGATTAGTTACCTGTCGGATCAGCCAAAAGTGAAGAACATGTTTGTAAAAGACATTAGCAAAAAAGTGGCAGAACGTCATACATGTTTAAGCCATAAATATTCACTTGATATTCTCGACAGCCGTTCCTAGACTTAAGGAAAGCTTCATAAAAATACATCAGTCAAACGTTTCTATCACATACCATGTTAGACATTTATACATCAGGATACATATTCCCTACACGAACTATTATGACACTGAAAATAAAACAATGAGTTGTGTAAACTTGGCAATTGTAATCATAACCCCATACCTTTGGACAGACAGAACGGTAAAAAAAGTATTTGTAAAATATTAGGTCACCTTTCGATCCACAGATGTATATTTGATCAGCCTCATAATCTAAAATACATGATATAATTAGAGCGCATAAAAAAACAGTGGTTTAATAATTACCTTGCAAGTCTGATAGCAATTTTTTTTTTTTAAAAAAAAAATAGATGTAATAGATGTAATAGGGAAGATAAATGAGAAATAAAAGGAAAATAAAAGAGAAATAAAAGAAAAATAAAGGAGAAATAAAAGAAAAATAAAATAAATCCTTTTTCATCAGAAAAAAAAAAAGGGACATTCAATTGACGTTCAAATAAGGTTTAATCAAGGTTCAATCAGTAATTTAAATCAACTACAGCAGTTGATAGAAACATACGCATCTGTCTAAAAAAACAATAAAAAAGCTTTTTTTTTTTTACTCGTCGTTGTCATAATAGTTAATAATGTTTATTTTCTTGAAGAAGGGAGAAGGAATGATTTACACCGCAAAATTTGAAGAACGATTAATTAAAAATTGACCGCAATCGCCATGATTGCGGTCAAAAATTGACCGTATCGCATTTTTGGCGATAATATCCAATTTTGACCGCAATCGCCTAAGTTTAACTCCGAAAAAAAACAAATAGCTTCAAATATTGATTTTGCTATCCTTAGAGGTTAGAAATAAATAATAGAATAATTTAGTCGAAAAAAATAGTTCTTTACGACAATTATTGATGATTTTATAAGAGAAACAAAACGGATGATTTGGTTCATGGACTGGGTTTGAGATTTTGTATCACGTCAGATAAATTTTCTCGCACTAATCAAAAGAATTTTTAATTTTTTTAATTTTGCCTTTTATTTTATAAAGTAATGTCGCCCACTTTTCCAGCCAGTTTCGACATATCCTCCTCAAATGCCTCACCCGTACGTATGACATACATGTTGGACGACTGATCAGTGGCATTGACCAGCCCGACCGAACACATAATATCCTCCGCGTCAAAAACGACAAACTTCTTTTGCTCATTCTTGGAGTAAGCCTTGACCCGGGGAATAGCCTTAGAGTACGGGGACACCCCATTCGTCTTCATCAACTCACCATAGACATAATGGGACCTAGAGCTCTCACGAAAACTGAAACTAAAAAAAAACAAGGCCTTACAAACGTACCATCTCTCGACGGAACAAAATTGTCTACATAATGGATAATTTTAGCGTTTAACACAAAGGAATCAATTGCAGGGGTAGATACTTACAAGTTCTGATGGACGGCCTTGAACATCAAAAATTCACCACCACGAGAACTCGAATTGTTATTGGACTTGAAAAAATCAGAGATCAAAACTTGGTTGTTGAGCCATAATTTTGCCGAAATTATGATCGTTTGATCAGCGTGAAATTGACCGAAAGATACATCCTTATTTTCTTCTAGACGAACAAAGCAATGTAACAAAGCCTTGATCCAGAAGATAAAAGGGTATCCTCCAAGGGAGAAAGAAGTCGAGGCGGTGAATCTCTGGTACAAATCGCCAAACACCAAAGGAGCCGGGTTTGACATGAAAGGAGACCAGAGCTGTGGGCGGGTTGGATCATTTGACGGATGCTCTACAAAATTCGAGGATTTATCAACAGAGGCGCGACCAATCGAAAAATCGATAATATCAGCCGACTGGATGAAGGCAAATATTTCTCGAGTTTCTAAGATGTTGCCAGCATTGACACCAGGATGAAGAGTCGAACGGATTCTTCTTTTGTATGTACCGATGGTTCTTTCTAAAGATTGTGCAGAGTAACAACGCAAGGGACTATATTAAAATCAGGTTAGACGGTGGATTTCTTTGCACAAGTACTATTATTTTAACTTACCCCATTCTTTTAATCATATACACAATATGATTTAATTGATGCATATTAGACTTGAAATGGTACGGGAGATCGTTTCTTGGACAAGGCACGTATCCAGATAATCAAACCAAGTGTCAAATGATCTATCAGATTGGATGATTAGTGAGTTAGATATTTATAAGGCATTTGTAATATGTAGCTAATTACCTTTCGATTTCTTTAAGGTTGGACTCGGTTACAACCCACTGCAAACTAAGTTTAATGCCTCGGGAGAGAGCAATAAATGCCTTTGTGGTACTACTGGCGGGAAGGAGAGGTGCGACAATTGTAGGTACCACATACAGCAACCAAGCAATCCAATCAACAGATCGATACATAGAACGGACTTTGTCTGAATGCATGCCCTTGAAAGAGCCACTGAAATCTGTGGGGATATTACAGCGCGAATCGTTCATGGATTGTTGAATCTTGGCAAAGTTCGCAGGGGAAAGGAGAAAAGGGTACTTGGATTCGTGACCAACAAATTTAAACCGGGCATTGTACCTTGGGGAAAGAAGATCAAAGCAGAGTTTGCTGACCTTGGAGAACATATGCAGCTCATCGCAAAAGAAGAAATCTATTCCCAAGAAGGTATTTAATCGACCAAAAGGACTTGGTTTTTTGATGCCATAAGTGTTATCAGCGTTGGGCTTTGGGTGTAAAATGTAAGTACAAAGTAGACGGGAATATAAAATATGAGAACTTACGGATAACAAGAATTCCTTACTTCTCATAGCAACACCCCTTTCAATGAAGTACATGCCACCTTTTTTTTCTTCAACAGGGTGAACACCTTCAACTAATCAAATAAAGGAGGCGAATAAGTTTTCTAAATCGTAAAAGTTGAAATTTAACACATACCCAAACAAAATCTACATCCATGGAACCCTGTATGGCCACCAAACATTAACAGCCGCTGGTTAATTTCAACACCATCCGCAATAACCCGAAACAAAATACGTTAGACGTATCAACATGTTCACCATTACGCTTAACGACAAGCGGTTGTTTGCTTAATTGATCAAGACTTCTAATTATGGGACGGAGGTACGACTCAAAATTTGTTTTGGTATCGCCGAAAAAAATTGCTACTTGGAAGGTATATTCATCCGTATATCTGTTAATTAAATGATAAAGTTATTAATAATAATTTGAAGTATATCTACAGATATGTGATACATTACCTAATGGACGGATCGATACTGGGGATGATGACATGTACCATTACCATACTTTGTCGGGAAACCTTGGATGTGAAACCATCGACGCAGAGAACAATGTCCAAATCATGCTTACCCGAGAAAAGCCCCTTCGCTTTCAGCTCCTTGAAAGCCAAACCAGAGAAAAAGTCGGTGTAAGGATCGTCTTCCTCCATACCATCAATGACCTCTCGGTATTGCTCGACCTCCTTACGGAAATCATTTCAGGTCAGCATACGAGCAAGATGATCACCGATGTCGACCATTTTGACAACAGATGTTGCACGTCTTACGGCACCACACTGAGGACAAGCAGCCATATTGACATCGATGATGGGATCAAAAAGATAGCAACCCTTCTTCGAACATATCTCATACTCGCGGACAAAATCAAGTTGTAATCTTCTTTTGATCATGGCAAGGCCAGCTTCTTGAGCATAAAATTTCTTCTTCTGGATTGATGCTAAAAAAAGGGAAGTCAATTAGTATCATTATTATAATTTAAAACTGATCGATAATTTTAGTAACTTACTGGATCGTTCTCTGTTCGTAAACAACTCCAACAATCTCTTCATTTCTCTCACTGCTTCGACTGTCATGTTTGACTTTACGCAACTATACATGAATTGGATACTGTCATATTCGTTATTGTTGAATGGATGTTCAGGAATAAGAATATCCTTGGTGTCGGGATCTTGATACATTTGGGCTAATATGGAGCATTTTTGGGTAAGCATAAGTGTTTAAAATTTCAATTATCGTTACGAACCTTCATCTGTGTCTTCTTCAGTTACAGTTGGCTCCGCAGCAGAGGGAAGAATGATCTCCCTTACATACGCCATTTCTTCCATTCTACTACGTTGTTCAAAGTCCACATCAGGGATGTGACTATCCAAGAACTCATTACAATCCAATGCTTCGTCAAAACGTTGTTCGGCAGGGATAGTCTCTACATTGACAGGCGCCAAAGGAACGGTATGAACAGCATCCATGTCCACATCATTTGCTTCACTATTTGCTTGATTTGTATTGGCAGCAGGAGACATAAAGCTCGTGATACGGTGGGCTCTGCCCTGTCTATGGACTCTTGAAGGTGTAAGCGATTTCTGAATTCGATTAGGGTGCACGATGATTTTAAAATATTTGAATTAAACAAGTAAGTGAAATTATATGGGCCTGTTTTCTATAGGTTTTATATTCATTATAGAATTAGACTATCACAGATCGGAACCACTTAAAACTCTTATGCCGTCATAGCTGCCAAGCAAATTGGCTTTCAAATACACGAACCTGTCGGGAGCTGTTGTCAAATTGTCTTCCCAAAATGGCGTTCAGAATTAATGATACAATACTGTGATTGGTGTATGCGAACCATACAAATCGAAGCTAAGTAACTGACAAAATGTTATAAATACTAAACATTCATACTAAATCATTGATATTATTCTAAATAATTATTTTTAAAATTTATAACATGAACCCCAACAATATTGCATTATCCAACGCCGATTTTATCCGTCTTTACGAAACTGCCATCAATCGTATGGAAGCAAAGTGGGAGACTAAGTTTGCTCAGTTAACTGCAGATATGAATCGTGGATTTCGTAATGTTCCTGTAGCCGTGAGCAATCACATGTACCTGAAATCTGGAGAACATTGTAAGTGCTGCAGTCAACTCAAAAAGCTTCAAAGATCCAACAGCAAGGCCTCCATCCAAAAGCCACTCGCAGTAGAGTCAGCAGGTATGAAATATCAAACATTTTCGGTTTATCTTGTAACAGTATTTTGGTTTTAATATTCTTACTTTGCGACTTATAGAGCATCTGCAAGATCAACTCCGTCGAGCAATTGCGCACTACAAGGAAAATGGTCTGGTCGAAAAAATTGATGCCATGATGATAATTTTTGGATCTAGATCAATTGAAATGCGTAAGGATAACAAGATCGAAGACTTTGAGATCATGACCGAGGCGTATCTCAAGTCAATTTCGTCTGAGCTTTGCAGTGATCAGGATATCACGGCCAGAGCCAAAGAGTCATACAACAACGTCCATTCCCTGTGTAAGCATTTTGTCGTAGCATATCTCGGTGACAAATTGCTGACACATTTTACATGGAGCTCACTTGATGTCAAGGTCCGTAAGGAGATGACCGCCTTGTTTGAGTGCATCTTTCTGTTCTGGAACAAGCGTGTGGGTATAAGTGGATTCCCAACAACTTTCGCCGCTGAGATGATCTCGGATGCAGAAGCTCACACCCCGGTGATGCCACTGTACTGTGCTGACAAGAACTGGATGGCACGTCGTATGCTGATTTCAGCCATTCAAACTGCTGTCCCAGTTAAAGTAAGTAATATTTTTGTATACAATGGTTCATAATGTGGTATCTAACTAAGTTTATTGTATGATCAGCCAGTACGACGTCCAGTTTCCTCAGGCGTGTCCAACAACTTTGACAGCTTGGGGTTATCCGAAGAGCCTCTGGGTAACACGTCCACATTCAATGTCAGCATGAGTACGTTGAGTTCTTTTGGGCGGGTCAGAATGCCAGACGACGATGCTCCGTCAGTCTCTTCTAACAGAGACATTCTCAACTGTTTGTCTGACGATGTGTTTGACGATGTGCTTGACGAGGTGTCCGAGGAGGTGTCCGAGGAGGTGTCTGAGGAGGTGTCTGAGGAGGTGTCTGAGGAGGTGTCTGGTGCGAAGAGACAGCTTTCCAATTCAAATGCAGAAGGTGAAAGAAGAAAAAGTCAACGGTCTCGTAATGCTTAGATCCGTTTTTTTAAAAGTCAACTAAAAAAATTTTGTATAAAAAACCTATTTTTTCTTAAAATAAAATTTTTTCTTTTCTTTCCCCAACAATATCTTTTTGTATTTAGCTTTGATGTATGTGTATGATAATATATATATATTTTTTTTTTGTAAATATAGAGGTGTCCAGCCCCCATCCCATCTCTAACCATAAGGTAAACTAGTTAGTGGACTTCTCGCATCCGTGAAGGTAAGTTCAATATTCTTCTGTGCAACTAACTAAACCTGCTCTTTTTGATTGTAGCCATTCAATTGTAATGTAAGCCAGTGATTATATTTGATTGTATTATACTCTAACACTGTAGTCTATAGATATAATGCATACAAAACTCTCGCTAGGCTAGGCTAAGGTAAATAATTAAATGATTGTGACTGTCGTGATCGAGGCTATATACTTAATATATGACTCTATCTACACTTCTTAAATCTTCCATTTGATAATCCTAAATATAATTCTTATTGGTACTTTATATTAAATACTGATCATTTACTTTATGTACAGGCTTGATCTCATATCATCCTTCATACAAGTATAAGGCATACATTTAAATAATAACATGAATATGAAAACATATGAAGGTTACATCAGCCACGTTGAGGTGCCACAGCTATCTTTAATAAGAACTACATTTTCCCCTGAATGTTGTGCTACAAGACATACACAGTTTAAGAATGAATGTTATTGTTATTGTTATTGACATCTCCTTATGGTCTTTCTATATGGGATCATTACATCCGAATATTATCTGGATAAATCTACCCATAACCGTCATCAGCCCATCTGTGATCAATGTCTGAAATAATGTGTATATAAAGACCCCCTTTTATTTGTTTAATAAAGCTTTAGTTTATTTTTGCAGTTTGATAATTTCACTTTGTTAAATTTTACATTTTTTCTTAATTCGCTATTATCACTCTCGAATTTCACAGTGACCTGTGTAAGCCACCCATTAATAATTTTAACTCTAGATATGTAGCTTTTCTATTCGTATAATACTCTTACGTATCAATACAAAGCACGCGATAGGATAAGGTAAATACAATAGCACTGTAATCTACATAAGCCACCCACTAATATTTTTAATTTTAGGTATGTAGCTTTTCTATTTGTATAATACCCTTCCATTTTACCTGTAATTTCACCTCATAATCCATAATCCCTTTCGCCGTTATTATTTTATAAACATTTAATAAAAAATAAATAAAATTTTTCATAACATAAACACATAACTGTTCATAATACAAGGGTATAAAATTTGATAAGCAAGGGAAAATTTAAGGTTACCGCTGAAATACGGCCAATAATAGTAAAACAATTGATGGCATTCGTGATAAATACGACCAATAATAGTATCGCATTCTTGATAAATACGGCCAAAAAGTGTAGAAATTGATCGCATTCGCGAAGATTACGGTCAAAAAGTGAAGAAATTGATCGCATTCGCGAAGATTACGGTCAAAAAGTGTGAAAATTGACCGCCATCGCCGCGATCACGATGAAAAATTGACCGCCGTCGCGGCGATTGCGGTCAAAAATTCATCGCATTTCTGCTGGTTATTATTTGATCAAAAATTGACCGCGATAGAAATTTTGCGGTGTTATTCAATTAATTAAAGATTAACTGGTCTTATTGGGGTAAGACAAACAAAACGTTTTTGTGGTTGCTCGAGGCGAAAAACTTTATTTTACATTTGACGTGCACAACGGCGAACGTTTTGGTTAAATTTTGTTTCCCGAACACAAATTCAACCCAAATTATTTGGCGTCTCAGGAATATGATCAAAATTATTTTAGCATTTTGATCACTTTTTGTTATATATACCAAACATTTGGTGTAATTACACAAAAAATGAAAAATATTTTGGTGTTATCTGACAAAATTTTGGGGTTTTAACATAAGCTTTGATCACAGAACCAGAATCGATCAGAATAAGTTGCGTTTCATGACCATAGTTTGTGTCATAGGACAAGTATTTATGTTGCATGATAAATATTTCTGTAACGATATGCAAATATGTTGTGTTGACATATCAAAATTTTATTAAAAAGTCATATATTTTGGTTATAAATAAAAAACATTTTGGTCATACGAAATATATCATTCAATTGTAATATCGTGTTTTCTCATTTCATAGGTATAATTTATATTTTAAGAAACGTTTTATTTAAAGGATGCAAATGGATGTGGATATAGAGTATAATATATTTAAATGGGTCAATTAAAGTGTTATTAAGCTAGTGAATAATGTTAGTTATACGACCTCTACGTAATCATACCTTAAATATAGATATATTTGAATGTGTCTTTTCAAAATTATTTTAAACTAGTAAGGGAGGTTAGTTATACGGTATAGGTAGCATGATATATGTTAGGTGCAAAAAGTACCTTAGGATTCGAGCGTATGATATGCCTTTATGTCAGTTTTTACATATCTACAATAAGTAATACTTTAATGATCCCAATATTCAAGATAATGTAGTATAAAAAGAACATAAAAAGTGAATATTAGCCTCTTAAATCAACATAAAAGATTCTTACATAAAATAAAAGGGTATACAGGTAGGGAATGAGCGAACTCAATAGTATAGAAAGCCTGTAAAATAAGTACCGACATTAGTATCTACATCAAAAAAAAAAAGCAGGACTTACCGATTGATTAAAGTCTTTTTCAAAAGTATGTAAAAGAAAGAGAAATAATAGTAAAACGACGGATCGCGCACCTTTAGTTTAAAAAAAATAGCCTAGCGTAAATTAGTGTGATTTTTTACAAAATTATTGGTCTAATGAAATTTAGTGTCATTTTAGTAGATTTCATAACATTTATTTATAAAAAAAAAAAAAAAAAAAAAGGAAGGAAGGAAGAAGGCACATAAAAAAGTAAAAGAGCAGAAAGAAGAGGTAAATGTAATTAAGCTCTACAAAAATAACGTATCAGCAAATGACAACAGTTTTGAACGGCATTTATTCTCGCATACTTTTTTGTTCTCTTCGAGCCCCTTGCAGCTTTTTCCCTCTTCCGTTTGCCTGGGCAGCACGCTTTCTAGGAGCAGGAGGGATGACTTCATCTTCCAGCTCAATCTCCTCCAGCTCACCGTAATCAGACATCTGATTATCCACAGAACCAGAACCGATGTCTTCTTGGATGGCAGTGGGAACTGCAACAGCTGAAACCAGCTCTCCATCGTCAGAAACGTCGGGCTACAATGATTGTCAATTAAAAATAAAATAAAAATTAAGCCAAACCAAAAGCTAAATAACATACCATAAATGCTCTGATATAGTTGTGGTAACTAGTCGAAATCAATGTTTTTGCTGCCCAGTTTTCTGTACATTTATCTAAAGGAAGATTGGACCTTTTAGCCATCAATTCCAAATGATTGACAGCTTCAGACTTAAGGTGAGAAGGAATAACTTTCCACCTAAGTTTTTCACCATAAAGGTTCAAAGCATCAAGCTTACTTTTAAGCTGCATGACACTTGTCTTGCTGTATGAATTCAGCTGCGAAACGAAGGTTTGCATGTTCAACGTTTTCTGACCTCTCACAAGAAGACTGTCGCTCAGCTGGATCTTCAAATCCGGTTTCACTTTCTGTAGAAAGTATTCAATGTAAGCTGACTTTCGGTTTATGCTGCCTTTAGCCGATGGCTTTTGAATGTCTCGTTCGTGTGAAGACAAAAGGCTATCAAACTCATTGTCTCTACTTTGATAGACAGCTGGCACCGCAGGTTCGGCTGTAAGTGTATTTATGATGATTAAAGACGTTAGTATGAGTTGTAACCGACCATAGTCTATCACTTATAAATGTATATACCTCTTCTGTTTCTTTCGCGATCATCATCACGCTCTTGAAGGAGAATATCCAGTTTTCTTTCCATGCGTTTGACGGAAGCGAGTGTTTCGTTCCATGCGATTTCTAAACGTTGTGCGGATTCACCAAAAGAGTTTACGCTGTAGTTTGGCATATTGATAAGAGTTAAATAATGAAGAAAGGAACAAGACTATCTTATGTTGACTGTCTAATATATGTTAAAATTTAAACTCCTTTATTATTTAAACAATGATGTAATAAACAATGTCATTAAAAATGACAGTAATTCCCAAAAAGTGTCCATACACAAGAAATATACATGGTCCCTAAATATATGCGTGTAAATTCACGTATTACTTACTTATCAACTGCACGTTCTTGGGTGATTTTCATAACCAATTTACTGTCGACAAGAGCTAGCATTATCACTAGTACGTAGATGACGTTTTTTAGTGTACACTACAAAGGAGGCTATAAAATCTGTTGGATATAGCATAAATCTAATTTCTCAGTTCTTTATATTTTTACTTAACTTTTTCCTTAAGAATAACGATAACACAATTAATCCTTACAACGTCTGTAACGTATGCCAATATTCAGCCCCTAATGCTAAAAGCATGTACGTACACGTACAAAAGAAGAGGTGTATTTCTTTAGCCGATGAAGTTGATACGAGCATCGAATCCTCCCATGTAACTCCAATTGACGGATTCTCCTCGGAAGATATCGATATGACTGACAGTGCAGATACTCCTGGAAATGATGATGATGTCGACGAAGGTATGGGCGAAAGAATTTTTAAATAACGTGCATTTGACTTACTTTTGCAATACATATGAATCAGTTGTGCAGGAAGAGTTTCCTGACGCAATTTTATATGAGTATTTTGATAGCAACCACGGCCATCATAATAAATTGAGGGCATTTGAAGTTGGATTCTTGCAATTAACTGATCAGAAAGGTGTATCGAGGGAAGTACAACGCCATCTTATTTCATTTATCAACAAAAACTTGCTTGATTGTATAGCACCAGAAGCTTGCATCCAAGGTAAAACAAAAAGCAACAACGACTTCCATTTCTCATGTTTTTATCTCTCAAATTAGGCTTAGGTGGGACAAAGCTTCGTTCTCCTGATCAGATAAAAAATACAGTGGTTAAGACTAGAGGTATCTGTAAAGAATATGATGTCTGCGTTAATAGCTGTTACTTTTTCATGGATGATGATCAAGCTGTAGATTGCCCTAATCCCAAATGTAAAGAGAAAAGATTCAAAGACAATAGCAAAGTTTCTCGTGAAATTATGCCATGCGTGTCCATCGGTGAAGCATTGACACAGATGCTATTGGATGATGACAACAGGGAGCTTTTTGACTACAAGCCTACGTTTAATCTCGACGATAATCAACTTGTTGATATTTTTTCGGGTCAAGACTTCAAGCGTTTGCATCGTAAAGGGGTTATTGGTGAAAAAGATATCTGCCTTGTAATGTATGTTGATGGCTTCCAAAATAAGCACAAACCCGGTCATAGCCAAACCATGATTCACTCTATCATTATGAACCTCGACCCATCTGTTAGGTGATATAGATCCCCAACTTTTTTCTGTGAAAGTTGTTTTCTTCCTTTCTTACCGTTTTATAGATTTGAAGAAAACATGATGATGCCTTTAGGTGTTATACCGGGTGGCCCTGAAAAGACATACGATTTGATGTCGTTCTTAAAGCCATTCATTGAAGAAGTAGAGTGCATCTGCTTTTCAGTAGTTCCTAACGTGTTTTGTGACATTTTTGAGCATTCATCTCCGACTGGTACAAGCAATATAAAAGGAAATTTATTCATAGCCAGATTTTTTTTATGTGGGGGGATTTTTTTTTTTTTTAAGAAAATTTTTCAGTGGAAGTAATATTGGGTCTCCGGCTGCGATTTCATAGGCCGGCTCTAAACAGCTTCAGATCAATATTTCAAGCCTTTCAATACATAAATTAATTTTAAAAAGGGTCACGCGTCTTAAGAATATACTTTATAAAATATATTCGAAATTACAAGTGATTCTACTTAGTACATAAAAAAGGTTTAAACTTTTTTATCTTCTTTTCAGTGTAAGTAATATTGAGCCTCCGGCTGCGATTTCATAGGCCGGCTTTGAGCAACTTCAAATCAATATTTCAAGCCTTTCAATAGATATATTAATTTTAAAAAGGGTCAGGCATCTTAAGAATATACTTTATAATATATATTCAAAATTACAAGTGGTTCTATCTAGCACATAAAAAAGGTTTAAACTTTTTTACCCTTTTTCAGGGTTGGTGACATTTAGCCTCCGGCTGTGATTTCATAGGCCGTCTCTAAAACAACTTCACATCAATATTTCAAGCCTTTCAATTGATAAATTAATTTTAAAAAGGGTCACGCATCTTAAGAATATACTTTATAATATATATTCAAAATTACAAGTGGTTCTACTTAGTACATAAAAAAGGTTTAAACTTTTTTACCCTTTTTCAGGGTTGATGACATTGAGCCTCCGGCTGTGATTTCATAGGCCGTCTCTTAACAACTTCAGATCAATATTTCGAACCTTTCAATAGATAAATTATTTTTAAAAAGGGTCACGCATCTTAAGAATATTTGTTTTAATGTATATTTTAAAATTCGAGTAGTTCTACTAAGTACACAAAAAAGGTTGAAGTTATTTCAAGCCATTGCTAACGATTATATAGTCTGTGCGCGGTTTTTTAAATCCGTGAGCACAAACAGTGGGTTATTTCAAAATCCTACCACGGCTAATGATATTAGCGGCAGGTTATTATTGGCTCAAAAACCTTTTTGTACAGGTTGTGACATTTTCTCCCCGCCCCCACCTAAAAAAAAAATGTTGAATCCAGAATCTGTTATGTTTTTTAAATTAATATATGTAGATTCTCATTTTAATCAACATAAAAAACAATCCTAACCTTTCAGATGGGATATTAATTATAAGGAAAATGTGTTTTACCCATCTAAATATTTGTCTCTGCTTAAATTTTTTTTAGGTACCACCTAAAAGCAGATGCACTCTAGGAGTCTTGAGTACGAAAGGCATGACAGTTGTTAAGAATGGTCGCGATGTCTACGCAGGAAGAGTGTTTATTCTTGGAATCACAGGTGATATTCCCGGTATTGCCTCTTTAATGAACCATCAAGGACACCAATCGACTAGTGGATGCAGAATGTGTAAAGTCACTGGTGAAAGACCAATTGGAACTTCACACGGCATGTATTTTAAGAAAAAAGGAACTATGAGAACCAAGAAGGAGTTGGTATCACGCAGTCAAATAGCGGTTAGTATATTTGACGTATTAATGGATACAATGTATACTTACGAATAATTTTTTTGATGAAGGAAAACGGAATGTATGGTGTTCCCGAACAGATCAGTCGCTTACCAACATTCAACGGATCTTCTTTTTTCCTTTGCGACGAAATGCAGTTGTTACAAAACATTGGAAAGTTGGTATATGCTTTGGTCTCTCCTGCGGATAACGTACGTTACAAAGCGCCGGGTAATAAAGGCTACTCTTTCGTCTTAAGTAGATTACAGACACAGAACAGCCGCTTTTTCGAAGTAATTGATGGCTTTGTTAACGCATCCAGAACGAACATACCCCAGTCATTTGAAGGAAATTGGGAACGCACAAAGGGACACAACCGTGCTGTAGATTGGCATGATTTCCTGTTGTATATTATTCCAACATTGGTCATTCAGCATATACGATCCGAAGAAGCAAGAGAAGCATCGATGAATCTAGTGTATGGTTGCTCCATAGCCATCCAATGGTCTATATCCGATGCTGACACTAGGGACATGAATAACAGGTACTGTAGTCATATATGAAAAATAGATGAGGTTTTGCATTGGAAAAATTAACTTTCTTATTTACCTAACCATCTTTATGATAAGATTTGACAAATGGCATACATTTTTGAGAGACGAGATCTAAGCGGAGAGATTAAACGTTCGTGTTTTCATTGTCAACAATCATTATTTGTGTCATCTGGAGTACATTGTCAAAAATGCAGGACCTCTGAAAGCCTACTCTTGTCGCAATTTGGAACGTACAATAAAAAAATACAGCAATCTTATCAAGTCCAAAAGCCGTATTAATGCCAATGCTTCCAACACCATCAGAAGTCAAGCAGGCTACAACTCACGTCATATCCGAGGTCTCACGTCTGGCTTGGTTTCTGGTTCTGGTTGGAGCCCATCCTCGTATTTGGATCACCCATCAGGCTTGCCTGATTCCCCTCAACTACTGGCTCCTTTTATGGATGATACCCTGTTGGATGACACTTGTGCGGAACTGGTATGCTGTGGCTTGATAAAGAGCAAAGTTGTCAGGGCCTTGCAACATTACTACATGCGTACAGCAGGTTACGAAGCAGGAGAGCTTGGAAGTATGGACGTAGTCATTGCAGCAAGAGCATGGAAGGACTCTAAGCAATTCTCTTCAGAATTCGATCGAAAGGCCAAGAATTTGCATACAAGGGCCGGCCACATCGTACTGTTTGATGTCAGTACCAATAGAAGGTAAAAAAAAAAAAAAAAAAAAAAAGAGAGAGAGAGAGAGAGAGAGAGAGAGACAAAAAAGAGATATTAAAACAATGTCCTTAGCTCGACCCGAAATGCTTGGTTTGTTGGAAAGGTGCAGTGCTTTATTCAGCATAAGCAGGAAAATGAGGTTGCCTTCTTGGCAGTGATTGAGGTGATGGAGCAACACAGTCTTGACAGTCATGGTGTTCCTGTTGTGGTTGAAAACACAAAAGATAAAGCCTACCGCAAGATTGCTGTGTGTGATGTAACCGACTTTGTTGAATGTGTTGGCCTTGTGCAGTACTCGGCTACAAAAAGTAAATTCAAAGTCGTGTGGCCAAAAGCACAATTTCATAAAAAGCTTGACCGAAAACTTTGTGGCCAAACAACTGATTACTAGTAAATAGAATAAAAAAAAATTTAGACAGAGATCATTATTTTCAGTTTTTGGAGTCTGGAATTCGCAACATGTAAAAAAAAAAAAAAAAAAAAAAAAAAAAAAAAAAAAAAAAGAGGACGGTAAAAAAAAAAAGCCGGAAAAAAAAGATTTGTGTATTTCTTGACAAATTTGTGTTATGCGACCAAAACTTTGGTATCCCGACACAAGTTTTGGTTTTTACATAAATAGTTCGCCGTTGTGGTCTTTAAAATAAAGGAACAGATATTTTAGTAATCTGCAAAAACTTTATTATTAATCATTCAAATTGGGTCATTTAAAAAGCAACGTCATGGATTTCAGAAAAAGATTTCTTTTGGAAGTCTGAAGTAACCTTTCACAAAAAAAAAAAAAAAAAAAAAAAAATTTAATGTCCTTAATCGGGATCTTTAAAAAATAGTTTGATGTGCTTGCGAGGGCCCTAAAACCTGCGAGGCGTAGCAGTCTCCTTTCCATCCATTATAGTAAGCATTTTGCTCCAAAGGGTCAGCAGGATGCTGTATTCTCAGGTTAAGTCCGTCAACAAAACCAAAGACCCCTCTTAATACTTCTTTTTCAAAGTCGTTGGTTGTGTTTGAATACACCATTTCATTGAAAACCTTCATTTCATCCTCAGTAGGCCAAGAGATTTTCCAACGGGGGTCTTCTTTGTTCTTATTGAATACCTTCAAAAGAGTTTCAATACCCATATTTTTGGATCTGCTAATTGTAGCAGCAGGCGCACCAAAAATCATGCAAAGTGTTTCTTGCTTCATTGTACTGTGTAACCACATAAGAACTAGAGCAAGGATCATCTCGGGGTCAAAAACTCTTTTACGTCCGGTCTTGCAAACATTAGGATATTCGATGAGGAATTCTTCGTATAATTCATCAAATGATGCGGTGGTTAAACCAAGATGACACATGTAAGCATCATCTTGACGAGCCATAATCAATTTTCTAGCGGCTGATTCGGAAGGTTCATGTAAACTTTTGGATGTTGTGTAGAACTGTTTATTAATACGACGGCCAGATTCGAGTAAATTCATATACTGAAAAGCAGCAGCAGAAAGAATAGCAATATGTGTATACAGTAATAATGTACGTTTGGTTACTGGAGGCATTTCAAATATATAATAAAAGCGTGAAAAAAAATTTATATGGAAAGAAGGGGTAGGGGGGGTGGAGGATTGTATTCAGTTACAACAGACCCCGTCCCAATAGATTTCCAACACATATAGTCACAACTTGATGATAGGTTAAAAGAAGTCTGAAAAAAGAAGTCTAACACATGCATTATGAGATTCGCTTAACGACGAGCTGTAAAAACTGAGTTACCTGTTTATGAAATTATTTTCTTTTTTTCTGTCAAAACAATTTATTCAAACAAAAATGGGAAACGTTCCAGGAGCCGTAAGATTCACTGAAAATGACAAGCTTTACTTGCTCAAAATAGTAAAGAATGTTCTACCATCTGGAGCTGATGAATGGAACGAAGTGTGCCAAATGTACATGGCAGGAAAAAAGAAGCAGGTCGCCGAAGAGAATGAGGCCATCAGATTAAGTACTGGAAAGAAAGGCGTCAAGACCGCTTGTGAGCGTACGGTTACGTCTTTGAGGACCGTATACAAGTCTTTGAAAGCAATGAAGGGACCCACGGGTAAATTGACATATAATCTGATGCATACGTAATAAAACCTTATTAACAATGACATATAAAAACAATTCCCTGTTAGGAAGCCCCGCCTTGACCGAAACCGTCAGAATCGCAAGGGAAATTGAGGAGCTCATAACCATCAAGACTTCCCAATTGGAATGTGGAGCTGATGAAAGTCCAGTAGAAAACAATGCGAATCCTGTGGAAGCTGTCCTTGGTGCAAATGGCTTTCGATCAATTGACGAATTGGCTGAGGAGAGCGCCAAGGCGTGCGATCAAGATGCACCATCTCCTCGTTCTGTTGCAAGAACTGTCCCAATGCCAAGAAAGTCCAGGGGGGCACACCAATATATGGAGGACTTTAATAGTCATTTTGGTGTCCTGGCAAGTGCCATTGCTTCGTCTCTTGGGCAGCAGAAGAGCCCTGCCCCTTTCTCCTCCAGTCTGAACAGTATGAACGATGGCAATCTGGAGATGATTGACAACCGTCTTGGGGGTGTTGACAATGCCTTGGAAGATGTTAACGTTCGACTGGAGGCGGTCAAAAATGACATGAAGAATGAGCTGAACGATGTCAAGAAGGAGTTCAGCGAGTTGAAGGAGGCGGTAATATTTAACTATACTTTCATGAATTTAAAATTTGAGCTAACCGAATCAAACATAGATGATGACGATGTTTGATTACATCAAAACATCAGTGGCCAAGGTAATATCAATTGTGATATATTTTAGGTCTTGTATTTACTAAAAAATGCCTTTTTTTTTCATTTTTTAGGAACCATCTCCTACTTCTTCTGAAAAGGGTAAAAAAAGTCGTTTCAAATAAGCGTAAAAGAGCACAATAAAATTATTTTTTTATAAACAAACTCTTCGCAATACATTTATTTTACTTTCATAATCCTTAAAGCCTATTGCATGCAAAGTTTAAAAAGAAAATGTAAAAGAGATTTTTTTTTTGAGTTAATTTTTGTTTGAAGTTAATTTTCAAGTTAATTAAGGGGGGTGGGGGGTGTCAATTAACTTTTCTCCATTTAAGCAGTAGATAATGTCTTAAAATTAAGGCTAATTTTTGGTTACACATCGTAAAAAAAATTTTTAAGTCCGTTTAATTTTGATGAATTAACAGTTTTGGAAGTCTTCTAGTATTTCGATACCATGTCTTATATACCAAATAATGCGATACGAATCATTTCTCATGGAAAACAATTAATATAACGTGTCCCTAAGCTTGAACCTGATAAACTTTTTGCTCTTTTTTAATTTAAGTTTTATACCACAAAAAACGTTTTGCTACAGATTTCTGACAGACGAACGATTGTAACATTGATTTGAAACATAAGCAAATAGTTTAAATATTTGGTTATAAAAACGTTTTACTGATAGCTATCAAACCTTATTAGTGCTAAAATATTAAAGCGGGGGAGTATAGGGAAAGCCCGTCGTTTGAAAGAAACAAAAAGAGCAGACAGTAATTTTGTAACACCCGACTTCGATCTGTAAAACTAGCGGAGTGTACTTATTATTTTATAAGACATAAAAATGGCTGATGATTTATTAACATAAAGTGATGCTATTTATAATAGTGTGTCACGTGTTTACGTAGCATGATAGATCCAATATAAGGCTTTAAGATGACAACGAAATGCTTCTAATTTAGACATCTTACCCGTCTTTTGAAACGTAAAGCAATGAATGCTTATCGGTTTTTTTCTTACCATTTTGTGCGTATACAATGATCGTGGAATAGACATAAAACAGCTTTTTCCGATAGTAAAGTAGCGATAGTATTTAGTATAGCTCTCGGCTACTATTAAAAGAAGAACGGAAAAGGAAAAATAGAATAATTCGAATTTTGCACCAAAAATTCGCTTTCCGACAGGTACGCGATTGAATCCAAAATGCATATTGAAAGGTGGTGATGGACGTCAAATTTTTTTATCTCTCACTCACTTTATTGTTCGACAACAAACACAAAAAAATCATAAATAACCGAATTAAATAACGTGTATGTTAGTATTAAAAGCGAATGTAAGTACAAGGTAAACTAATCATCTTGTAACAGATAACCAATTATTTTTGTTAGATCCAGAGAACCATGGCCTTTTAATTAGTCAATGTTTGAGAATGTCAAACATTCAATTGCCATCCGAAGAAGGTGAGCTCTTTTTTTATTTTAAAAATGTATATATATTAAGATGTACATAATCAGAACAATCTACGGCCTCGCGCATTGAGGAGAGACCAATGGCTGTGCCACGAAAAAGAATGGCAAAAGAAAACCATGAGGGTAGCTCTTCTGGCAAGAAAAGCAAATCGTATGCCTCGAACGCATACATTGATGACGAGGCCTCGTGTCGAAATGACACTGAAGAATCCAATACAACCAGTGTGGTCGAACCAGTAGAGGTTCCTACCACCTCTTCCAAGGAGGCGGAGGCTATCATCACACCAACAGTCGCAATTCGACAAAACATGTCGATTCTAAGTGCTCCACTGCGACTCAAGGCAATCAGAGTCTTAAAAATGCCCACTATGACTGCCACTACCGAGCAAGAAGACATTGATAACTTTCTGAAAGATATCTTCTTTTATTTCAATGCTGGTCAGACTTACGATGTTTTGGGAAAGTGCATCCAATACGTCAGATGCTATCACTTTTTCTGTTTCTTGGAAGAATCCAAATTACAAGGCAAAGGATTACATAAGAAGCACATGCAAGCAATCAAAGGTAGAACATAAATGGCCTACTGCATACTTTAAAGATTTAACTTTCTTTCAATAGACGGTCAATACAGTAAATACCAGACCAGACTTTTAAAAGCTGCCGGTAAAAGACTCAATGTCTTACTGAAGGACATTAAGTACGGCGCTCTTGCCATTGTAATTCCTTACTCCGTTGCAGCCTTTGAGCGATGGAGCTGGGAAAAATTCCAAAAATTTATTAGTGTGATTAAGCAGAATAAAGCCTTAACAAAGGAATTACAAGATCTTCAGCTTCACTCCTCTTTCTTAGACAAAACTGGAGAATTAAATCACGTATGTTATAAAGACAGCGACTAAATTCATTGCAATCATATTCAAAATAATAAAGAAATTCATTTTTGCTACTTGGCTTTAATTCAAGATCGTAGTGTTTCATTGATCCTAATTGTGACACAATAAAATATCAACACGAAAGACTTTTTTTTTCTTCCTTTCTTATCATTAACAAGAGCCACGGCTCTTTGCAAGGTAATTGACAAGATAAACGTAGTAATGTAGTGTGAAAGACAAAGGCGGTTCGTCTGTCCATGAGAGTGGCAGGACCTATGAGAAGGAACCAGTACGAGATTCTTCTTTCATGTATAGCAACACCAGACAAATGTGGGAACAATACATGCAAGAACGATACTCTACTTAAAACAACGAGCTCTTTTTAATGGTTCTATTCTTGTTCCAAAGAACGATGATCCCATTGACTTATTTATCTTTTAGTACCCTACATTACGCGCACTACACTATTCTTCCCTCTGAAGGCCAAGCCTTGACATACATAGCACCCTGAATGAAAGTCCGAATTACATAAAGTTATAATGAATGCCTTCGAGGCTTTCTAACGTTACATTTCTAGGGCAAACTTGTTTATTCGGTTTTATAATTTTTATGAGTCTGAAGTCAGATGAATAGAGTATAATGTTAGACTCATCTTTTAGATATACGGTTACCAACATGTAAGAATCCGGTTCGAAATATATTCGACACTAATCTTTGAGAGCATCGACGGTTTTTTCTATATAAGATTATAGGAAATAATAAACAACTTCTAGTTGATGAGCGTTAAATTATCCGCATGGTAAACATTGGGGTGAAGGATGAGATTGTATCTTTCACTATTAGGAGCGAATTATCTGCTTGATACCGAGTGGATGACCCTATTTTGGGGATATTTATCAAATTTTGTAAAATAGTTCGCTTGTTTTGATATCTCATTAATATACAATCGACGAATGTCAAGAGCAAAAAGGCGGACAGAACAGACAGAAGAATACTTGCTTCCACAAACAGAGTTATTACCCGAATGAAATTTGACATTTTTACCCGAAAATAGCCAAAAAACGTACAAAAATGATATAATCAGTTTTGACGAAATAACTAATAAGTTTATGGAATAAATTACCAAGAATCAAGTAATGCAGTGTATAAAATATATTATAATTGGTACTTCCATATTTTTTTGGATGGAAAATGGGAAGACGCGCTTAAATACAAGCGAGTATGGAGGAAGTTATTAAAAGTATCACCAATCGGTATGGTAGGTAATTTTATGCCAACAACCAGTACTGATAAATAATGGGAATAGTTTTAACATGATAAAGGAAATCTCATCGTTGCATATGGGGTAAACAGCAACGGAATTGACACCGTATTTACCTTGACAATTTTTTTAAATACATAAAAAACCCGACAATATAACCAAATAATAATTTCCCCGACACTTCTAATGGACTGACGCAACTTAGACAGATTTAGCAAAAAATTGTAGGTTCATGGAGCAAGTATGAGAACAAAACACCAACTAATCGTCACCAGCCAAAGGATACGTTCATAAAAATATAATTTACTTAAAGGGAAAAAATATTTTTCAGAAGTCGAAAAACATTTTTAAAGAGGTAGGAATAGTTTTAATAAAATGCCTATAGCCTGAGCTGTCTAATTAAATTGTTAAAAAAGTCTCTACCATAAAGGAGGTAAGACACGACACAGTCAGACATAAAAGCCCCAAAATACTTGGGTCAACGACGCTAAACGTTTGACGGACACAGTAATAAGCCTTTCTATAATAGTCCTAGCTTTATACAGAGTATCTATCTACCAAACATTACGAACAGAAAACAATTATTGATCAGAAAACCACAGAAATTAGCAAAAATGTCGATGATCCAGAATACCTATTAATTATACCATATGCTTAAACAAGTAGTACGTGTAACAGTTTTATAATCGACTAGCTCGTGTTGAAACAAAATATGAACACCAAACAGTTATTGTTTATGAAGTAAGTCTAAAATTGTTATATTAATAATTAAAAATCGCGTACAAATATTTGATTAATGACATCAAGTGATAGGGGAATATCTGTGACGGTGGTAGTACTTGGTAGGGCAGCTTTAATTAAAATATGGAAATGACTCAGCAATGACACAAAGTGAGCAATAAATTTACTAAAAACACGAATAGTCAGTAGTTGCTGGAATTTTTAACAAAGCAGCAAATTTTGGCAGATTTAAATACTTCTGTCCTTTTCCAAAGACTCTGTCAAATACATACCAGATAGGCAGAACATGAACTGACACAGTAATCAACGAAATACGCTATAAAATAAATAAAAAAGGACACATAAACAAAAACAGAAAAATATTTCTCAGAAATTGAAAAAAATTTCAAAGACTTGGGAAAATATTTTTTAGGTCTAGAATAATTATCTTTGAGCGTAAAATCTATTAAAAAAAGAGTAGAAAGGACGATAGTTTGTTTATATGTCAACTAGTGGTAATAAATGGCTAAATTGTAGCGATTTGTTACGAATTCGCTCATAAGTATATTGTAGTGACGTACAATATAAGCTCTAATAAGAAATCATCAAAAGAACAAGGCGATTATTTATACGCCAAACATTATCTTAGAGTGTATTTATTGAATGACCGCGCGTAAGAAGGTAATAACTTCTAAAGCATGAATAATAACAGGACTCTTTGTAACCATTTCCGAAAATATTTTAACCAAACAAAAAGATCTTCGGATCATGTTTTGATACAATAGTTGCAGTAACGATGGACAGGAAACCAAAAATTTCTGACAATTTATTTAAAACTTCTTAGTAGGTTGCTAGTGATATAAAATTTTTTGCAGTGTCTCGCCCGTGTTTGTGCCAAGTAAAAGAAAAATTGATCAATGACTGAGAAAAAAGTACCGACATGTCAAAAAAAAAACCAAACAATAGGTAACAATAGGTAAGTAATGACCCTTTGCACAAAAACCAGAATAGAAGGCAGATTGAAATACTTTCAGATTACGTTAAAAACTACGTACACCGCGAGCAAAATCAGTAGGTAATGAAATGAATCCGTATTGAACTAAATGTGTCCATGAATAAGTAAAAAATGAAAATATCACAAGATATTGTTTTTAAGACACTTTTAGAAGTGAATGCGAGTAGGATAATAGAGATAAAAGAGATTCTTTAAATAAAATAGAGGTTTAGTAAAGAAAGGTCTTTAGAGTTGCGAGTTAAGTGAGCACCACAGCTAGTTTAATCAGAAGCTGAACTGAAAATAAATGAGAATAAGTATAGCCTTATATGCTTATAAAATAAAAGATACAATGATAATATATAACCAAGGGATCAATCAGAATGATAATAGAGCTGAATAATATATAAACTAATAGGTCAAAGTATTGAAATATGAGTAAGATAATAGATAAGGATTTTTATTGAAAGAGAGGTCTTATGGATGCCTATTTATAGTGATGGATATATAATCCAGTCACTGAAATTAAAGAAATTAATTAAATTTATGAAGAAGAATGGGATAACTGCGCCTAGTAAGAGGTCACAGATCTATGGATAAGAAAAAGATGGAAAGAGGTAGTTTTGACAGGTGCAAGCCCGAAAGGCGTTATGCACTTTGGTAGGTGATTAAAAGAGAAGATAAATTGAAAGTACGCTCGATTTGTCGCGTAACAACACATTGAAATGACCACAAAAACAGAAGTAATTAAAACAACATCTTATGCACTTCTCGCAAGAGTTTAAAAACAGGAAACTAAAGTGTGGTATCAATCAGAAAGAGATTGCCAAAAGGAAAATATTTTATGGAAAGACAGAAAAGTCTTTCTTAGAAGTTGAAAAGTACTTAGAATGCTTATAAAACATCGTAATAATGTAACTACGCTGAAAAAAGTCACCCCAAGCTGTTTAAGCAACTACAAAAAAGTCCATCACCAAAAATGATCAAGTGAAGGACAAAATAATAAAGTAGGGACTATAAGGTCGTAGATTGTTGTGCAAAATATAACAAACGATATGTGACCACATAATTAAATGTCTGTTTAATCGATCTAGCACATAAGAGGGCGACGTCCTAGAAAATATAGTAAGGATTAAACAACATTAAACAAGTACCAAACGTACGAAGCCAATATAGGAAATTGGTGGAAGATACATATTCTATCAAATGTCTTGTTCATCAACGGTTTTTGAAAAATTTCGGCGTACGCCAGAGAAGCATTCCACCAAGTACAACGAGTTTACAATCATCATACAATCGTGATAAAGTCTATATCGAGTAATTCCTGAGTATGAGATACAAAGTTTCGTTCGGAACGGTATAAACTTGACAATGCCAACATGGCTGAATAACTCTGGTATTTCTCAATCGTCCCTTTTGTCGCCAATGTTATTGTTAATTCCGTGCATATATTCCAAAGGTGTTAAGAAATAATAAATTAAAAAAGACGAGAATGGC